CCATGCTGAATGAAACTGGCTAGAGCTTTGGAGCAAGGTACCTTTTTATTATAGAAATGTTTATATATTGTATTAAATTTGGACTATATTAAAACATAAATGTGCTTTGATTAATTACATTAATAATTTAAACAATATTTAAATAAAGCACCGAGTAAATGTGATTTAAATAACGAATTCAGTTTCCAAACTGATTCCTACAAAAACCCACCACTTTCATGCAGTGTTTGAAGAACTGGAGGCCAGAGCTGATTTCTTAGCAAATACATAACTACAGTTCAAGTTCTCTGCACACAAATATAAAGTTCACAAGGTCTGAGACTGGGCTGGGTTTTGAAGCAGAACTCCTGCAAAAGGATTCACACAGATCTGGACATGGACTGGGTTGCTCAGCTACTTCTCTACCTTACATGTAAACTATTTCCACACATTATAGTTGTTTTAGCTTAATTCAGCAACAACCCTGTTCCAACCTCTAGATTTTAAGTGATACAGCTTCTACCTTGTAAAACAAGAAACAGCTTTCACTTGGACACAATGTTAGATTCCCTACCTCCAGCAAACTCAGCTGAATGCAATTCACACATTCAATGTAATGCAGGCCCACTTTTATTTAAATAAGACCAAAAGAACCTGACAAACATAGATACAGGAGATTTTATTTAACATTGTGTACAAAGAAAGGCTACAAATGCCTTAAGACTTTTTTCCCCCCAAATACAGTTTTTGGATCCCTTTTTCATACCGCTTTTCTCAGAAAGTAAAAAAAAAAAAATATCCAGAAAGACAATTTTCCCCCACTTTTTTCCCTTTCCTTTTTCTCTTCTCTTTGGGCCTAAACTGAGAGATGTTTAGCAGTACAGTTTCAACACCTTTCAGTATTAAACTATTTGGATTAGGTTTTCTTTCCCAAAACAGAGCACTATAAGATACTGAAGCACTAGCAACAGCAGTATAAAATGTCAAAAACTGACTCCCTAACATGGTAGTGTTTAAAACAATGCCAACAGTATTAGCTCTGATGAAACCCAAAATTAACCAAACAATAACAAGTTGTCTTCTACACCTGATAATTTAGCACTAATTATATAATTTAATTGTATTTATATTTAAATAAATAGTCTTAACTCCTTTCCTTGGAATTCTTCACGGATTATAAACACTTATAATACTAGAGATAAGAACAAACTACACAACTTACATAGGCAAGAGAAGGCTGAGTTTTATTTTTTTTGCTGGACAGACACAGAAAGGACAACGTTTCAGTGTCCTGCTGTGAGATCATTTTTTAATTCACTGTTTCATTGTCATCCTTCTCCAATTTATCCAACACAATGATTCATTACCCTCTTTTTGCTCCCTTGGTAATCACTTTCAGTCCTGATATCCCAACTCTTGAAACATCAGTCCCTGCATAGCTAAGTTTTATCCAGGATTCTGCAAGTTTTGTATGTGATTGTGAAACCCAAGACAAGATTTCTCTGAGGCTGTGAGCAGTAAGGAAGGGAGAAGAGGCTGCTGTGGAGAAATGACCTTTTGCTATGGCAGCTTTTACATTACCACCTACTATATATGAAATAGGTGTTAGTGATGGATCAGCTTTCAGCTATTTGCATAATCCCAAACTGGCAAAATTCTCCTGAAATGGGACTAAAATGGAGGAAGTTTGAGCTACTCTAGATGGGCATTTGATCAGTCATTTAGGTGCAGTAAGAAGGAACTCTCAAAACTGCCTTCTGGGCCTTATCCAACTGCCCCAGGGGAGGTGGGAGCATCCAAGCAGCAGCAAGGCCAACTGCTCTCTGCTGGGCTCCACCCGCTGTGACCCTCCATGGGGTCATCTCCAGGAAGCTGCTGTATCCTCCTTCCAGGCAGGAAGCTGTTTGGTACACAAGCCTGCCCTTTTGTACATCCACAGGGATATAAAACATCATTCTACACATTAGAGAAACTGTTCATCTGTAGAATGTCTCAGGTTCTCAGAACATGCTACCACTGGGGAAAAGGCTGCAGCAGTTACACAAGCAAAAGCTCTAGTGGAAAATACAATTTTCTCTATTCTGATGAACCATTTTTGACGTGAGGATTTGAGCATGACTGCGATTAAGACAAAGCAGTAGCACCAACACTCCTGCTAGGCCTGGGGACTCTGTAATCATATTAATTCCCAAATATGCTTGAACAGCTGTAAATAATAGAATCTTACTTAGCTCACAACACTGGCCTACGTGAGCCCAGAGCATTAGCAGTACCTGGTCCATTCTGCACAAGACTGGAAATACTTTAATTATCTCCAGTGCTCTGCTCTGTAGCTCTGCTACAAATCTCCCCATGTGGTAGTTGCTACAGTGCAGAATGATGTGAAGTGGTTCTTTTGGAAAAGGAAGGATCTGTTTTACTGTAAGGTGAAACATGGCAGCAGCAAATAAATTATGTGAAAAGCTGTTGCATGGTTCACCTGCATGTTTTTCAGTGGTCTCCAGCAATGTCACTATAAGGCAGTAACACAAAGAGAATCAACACTGGAGGGAAACTAAGTAATTTTATAATTTTTTAATTCTTGGCAAGAGCAGTTATGAATTTGCTTGACCTGAAAGGCTGCAGTCTAATGATATGGTCATGGAAGGAGAAGAATTGAAACAACACATACACTCAGATTTGCTTTGGTCCTACTGCCCCAACCATTTCATCATTGCAGCATGTTGTGGCATTTTATCCTTGCAGCCCAGGAACAGACTTTTAGCTCAAACAATAGTTCACCTGTGTGGTTCTATGAGCTCCTTACTTCTCTGTGGTGGCAGCTCACCTAGGGTAACACACCTATTGCTGTTGCCACAGGGGGAAAAAAAGGAAAAGAGCAAGTGGTAAACTTGGCTTCCTTAGCACTGAACTGTGTGTGAATGTTGAGTACTAAGGAAGAGGGGCTGCAGCACATCAGAGCTGGGAGGCTCCAGTAGCTGAATTCCTGGCGTTCCCATATTCATGGTTATTTCCTGGCACGACAGCCTTTGCTCAGTTATCTGGGGCATGAGCTGCCTTCTGTGACTCAAAATGAGAACTCCTTTCTAGTCCCAGACAATGTGACCTGAGCGATTCCTAATTATGCTTCTCTTTTCCATTCGTGTTCCTTTTATTCCCTGAAGATTGTTACGGAAAAATCTATTAACTGTAAGTGCTTCCTTTATAGCTTCTGTTGGTTTTAAGGGCAATCCACGTATTTAATTCCATTCAATTACAAAATTCATAGAATACACATGAACATTCATTTCATTTGAGTTCAGAATGGAGAACTGCTCATACAAACCCAAGGCTCCGGTATCTCAGTTGCACAGGCCCTGTGTTAAAGGAAGGGAATGGTACCAGGTTTATTTTTCACTAACAGTACCATGACAATGTTAGTCTAAAAAGAAAAACATCCCTGGATTACAAATTTAGGAGGGCATAAACAAGTGGCTACAGGAATTTCATTAATTTGATCGTATCTACTTGGGAATTGCCCTTTCAGATTTTTCTTCAAGGAACAGAAGCAGGGCCCCCCCAAAATCCAGCATGAATGTACCGGTCTTCTGCTATTACAAGTCCCTGTTGTCTTGAATTAAAGTAAAAAGAGAAAGAGTAGGGTTTTTCTTACAACATTTCCCATTTTATACTAAAATTTCCATAAGAAGAATGTCACATCTGATAAAGTTACCCCAGTAGGTGACCAAGCACTGAAACAAATGGATTACCCAGTGAGGAATCAGAGAGAGCTGGGTTTTTGCCATCAGATTTTAAACATTTTTAAAAGCCTCACTGGTCAGTTTATATTTTATACACACTTGACAGAAGGGCATGTTAAGGTAAATGAACACACTGTGATGCCTTCCAGTGTTACACAGGTGACAAACTAATCTGGAGATCCACATATGCTTTAAAGAACAGTACATTTGTTTAAATAAACTCATAGAAAACTAACATGAACAACCATAAACCAGAGTTTTAAACAGGTAAAACAAATAAACTGCAAAAACCCTGCCCCTCCCATGAACATCCTCCGTGGTTCCACCACCTCACGGCCAACACCACAAGTGGCCGTTTGGCTCCGGGCGGTGGGCACGGCAGGGACAGGCACCACACTGCTGGGGTTTGCCCTTAGCTGATACACTGGAAAACAGCAGCATTAAAATACAGCCTGAAATAGCTCAGCTACTACCTCAACTTGTTAAAATTGTGCAAGAATAAGGAACACCAGCAGCATTTGAGTGGACGTGTTTGAGTTTGGCTTCCCACCCTCCCCTCCCGTACAAAGCACACACAGGCACAGAGCTGACTCTGAGCTAGGAACTGTTATTTCTTGTCCACCTTGGAAAACTTTTCTCTTAGTTTGCTTAACTTTTTTTGATTTTATTTAAAAACCTATTCAGTGTTAAAAAAAAAAAATCCATGAGAATTTTAAAATAGTTTCTAAATGCCAGGACGCTGATGCTTGTTCCTCTCCTTAAACTCAGAGAGACACAGACTATCCTAATCACCTGAATTTCCTTAGCTGAAGATGTTAGTGTGTGAGATTCCTGTTCCTGAAAGCAACATTTGCAGAAAGGTCTCTCCAACACACTAGAAACTGAAGGAGCATAAACTCCCAGGGCACACCTAAAGGGTAACTTTTTGCTAGTTTGCTCTTAAGTTGTTTATATTGTACCTTTTTTTGATACAGAAAATGAAAGAGTTTGGTTTTCTGACACAACTCACAAGGGAACATATAAGAGGAGAAATCAGGCGGCCTTCTCTAAAGCCAAGTTTTGCAATTCCCTTTTTGTTTAAGTATGATAAGGCTTATTAAAAAATAAAATAAAATAAAAAAAGTCCACAAAAAAACCCCGAAACAAACCAAAAAATCCAACCAACATCCCAGGGAGAAGAACATAAAAGCCTTTTGGAAATACTTAAATTTCTGAAAACATAAGACTATTTGAAAAAAATTTAATTGCAAAATTAAAGGAAATTCAAGAAATCAATTCTCGTATTTCAAATCAGTCCATGATTTCATCATCAGCAATATGATGAACTATCTTTTCCAGCCCAAAATTACCAGCTTTGGGGAAAACATACTCATACTTAACAGAAATAATTAACGGGTTAAGTTAAATTACCTTTTTTTCCCTGATCCACATGCCTGCATGTTAGATAATGTTACATTAGAACTGAGCATTGTAATGAGAGACTGACAGCAACAACCTGTCACAGTAACCAAAGCAAAAGCCATTTTCTCGTGGTTACATACTATAGATCAGTAATTTAATATTAAAATTAACTTCCTATATAAATAAAAATAAAAAAGTTGGGCAAAAGTAAATTGGCACAGTCATTATGGTATTGCTTTCCAGTTTCAACACTGCAAGGAGCAGCCACAGATTCCAAACACCAAAGGAAAAGGTTATCACCCAGCCACCAGCTGTAGCTTGGGGTTTTTTTCCCCTTTTCCATGAAGTCATCAGCAGTGCTTCTGCCTCAGGTCCATCCCCCCGAGGTGGGAGCTGGCAGGAGTGCAGCCTGTGGTACAAGGATTGCTGTGGTGGGATTGTGCCAGGGCAAAGGGAGAACAGAGAACCCAAACTAGAGTGTGCTTTACTGCTCTGCACGACTTGGCTCAAGTCAATGTTCGTCAGGATTGTGACTAATTTTTACCTTCAAACAGGCAAAAACCGAAAATAAAAATTAAAAAAAAAGTCAAAATCTTAAGCCTTCAAGTTTCTTTGCCTTCATTCCCTCCCTCCCCCAAAAAGCACCTCCTACTACAGACACATTTTCTGTTTTGCGGGTTCAGAAGTTGGAATGTTGTGGAAATACATACAAGAGAGAAGGAATTTCTAGTTGTACATTACATTACAAAGAGGTTTGCTCCCAGACCTAAGGAGGGAGGGATACTAAGCAATATTAAATTCCTATAAGAATCCTTACAAAGCATGCAAAATATTGATATACTCACAAAATCGAAATTTATATTTGTTCCTTTTTGATTTTGCAACTTCACAGTACAATAATTTCTAATATTATGCAGCAGTCAGAATTACAGTGACTACAAAATCAGTTCCCTTTTAATTTTTTTCTTTCTATTTGTTTGTAACACTCCTTTGCTATTTTTTTTTAACTGAGAGATTGCCGATCACCCATCAGAAAATGTGCAGTTCAGCACAAGAGGGGTTGCTTTCTGTGTCTCATTTCCCCACAGATGATGTTGACAACCTGACCCTACCAACCTTTCAAAATCTGTCCCTCCCTCCCCTTCTCGTGCTGATTCCTTCTCTTGTCTTCCAGCTGTACTTTTCTTCTTGCCAGGACAGTGATGGACAGATGCCACTAAATGGATGCTGCAGAGCTGGGTAGGAAGTGGGGCTGGAGTGGTTTAGGAAAACAGCGTCGCTCCCACCCCTCGGGATGTTTGGCACAACTGCTTCATAGCCAGAATGCTCAGCTCTGGATACCAGCAATCAGATTCTGCAGTTTCAATTCCCTGGACAAATACTGCTGCCCTTTCTGCCTCTGGAACCCCTGTGGCTTCAACTGATTCAGGGAGGGAAACACAAAATTGGTGTTTGGCCAGACCTTTTGTACTGCTGGATGGAGTTCCACAGAAATTTCTCCACTGCTCTTATTTAAAACAGGGTTGGAATTTCTGGAGAATCCACAATGCATGCTACTTGCTAGATTGTCCATAAAGTACATTCTGACACATTTTTCAGAGTGTTTGTATCTATCAGAAAAAGACTCTTGTAGAAGCAACGTACAAAGCCTCCAAAAATTCAAGTATCAAAAAAAGATGGTCTGATAAAAGTCTGGAGCAAGCAGCCAGCCAAACTGACAGCCATTCATTTTTTTTTGTTCACAAATTCTTCAATTGTTTTTGCAGTGATAACGTTTTTTCTTTGGAGTGTTGGGAATTAAGTGTCTTCCCAATTAATTTTCATCGAGTTTGGTGGGGTCTAAGGAATTTAGCAATCCTTCCTGGACAATGTTGCCTCTGCTTATATGCAAAAAAAACAACAGAATCACTGACTCTTATCCTCCCTGCCTCTCTTTAATTTGCTGTATTTATTTATAGAGTAACTTCATTGGATGTGTCTCCCTTAACCCAAAAAAACCATCAGAAGTGCAATACAGGCAAGAGCAGGGCATCTCCTTCCCCGGGGTGTATAAACATTTGCACCTGAAGGGCTGGGTGAGACAAAAAGAAAACCCAAACACAAAAAGTCCCAGCCCCCAAACGGACCAACAGTTCTAGTTGTACATAAAACTGTTGGATTTCTTTAGAACCCCATTTGAATCAAGACTTGAATTTCTGAGGAGGGAATCTTAGATCCCAGACCCTTCCCTTCTCTTTCCTTCCTCCAAAGCTATGCTATTTTTGTGGCCTAGAACAGTACTTGAAAATCAGCAGTTATTAAAGACACAGTTGTGATATATCCTTTAACACCCCCTCACCCAAAAAGGGGTGTCCTATCAAGTGGTCCAGTAGAAATCTTGAAGTTTCTTTATGATAAATTAAATCCATAAAATGAGGAATACCTTCTGTCCCATTCCCAACAAGAATAATGGCCACACTCCGTGGTGCATTTGTTCAAGTGTCTATTGCTCCTTCTAGTGGAGATTCCACGCAGCTCCATCTCCACTTAGTTCTGGTCCTACCAGCACGAGGAGAGGGTGTTCTCCTTTTTTCTCCAGCTTGTCTCTGGTTCACAAACAACAGAAGCACTGAGGGCTGGAATTCCCCAGCACAGGAACAGGCCAGTCACATCTGAGGAAACACCAGTCAGCTTTTTCTCAGGGGTGACAGTTATGCCAAGAGCAGTTCTTTGTGTCCTGTTGGTACCGCGGGCACCTACACCTCTGTGGAAAAGAGAATGCTTTGCCTCTTGCTGTCCGGGGTAGGGATGGTCTCCAGCTGCAGGAAGTACAGGAGAACTTGAACCTGGAAAGAGAAAGAACAAGGTAATAAAGCCCTGGTAACTCATTCTCATCCCAGCTATTTGAGAGTGGGCAGACATGCCTACAGCTCTCTCCATGGGAGCATGTAGCACTTGTGGATTTGTTTTAATCCACTGTGTAACATCAGCAGAAGTAGCAAAACTTGCAGTGCTTCAGAGACACCCTTTTCAGCTTCCAGGATGAAACAACGGCGCTGGTGTGCCAGTGCACTGAAAAAACTACATCTAGAATTTTCAATGGAGAACATACAAACCAGCCTGACCCAGTAACACAGGCTCTGTGTTCCAACCCTCTGCATTGCCTTCACAGGCAGCAGTGGCCAAAGAAATGTGAATTTAGCAGAGGATTGTGTTGGTTTAAGTGTTGAGGAGCATTGCAGAAACACTTTTGGTCCTTTTATCCCAGGGCACCAGGATGGTGCTGGGAGAGCTTCCCAAAAACTCTTCCCTTGCACAAACACACACACAGGATGCACAAACAGACATTCCCTCATGAAATGTATCTGTACAGATGCAAACTGAACTGCCTGAAGAAACACAGTTCTACAAACAGTTTAAAATGTCACTGTAAGGGCAGAACTTGTTTTATGTTTCTCAAAAAAACTGCCATGAAAACACAGCGGGGTGGCTGAGCCAGGCCTTTCCCAGGAAGTGTCTTCACAAGATGCAATGGCACATTCAGCATCTTACCTGGGACATGACTTCTAGTGACCAGCTGTCAGTCATTGTGATGGGCTGGGTTGGGTTAGCAGGGATTTTACTGTCCTTCTCCGAAGGTCTGAGCAGTGTTGGTCCAAAGACAGTGGCAAGATTATGCAGGGACATCTTGTTAACACCTTCCCTCTCAGCAACCCTGGGAGAAGAAACAACGCACGAGGCAGATCTTCATAAATACCTGAGTTTTACAAATGGGAAACTGAGGCACAAAGGTTAAAAAATTTGCCCAAGAGAAAAGTCTTCAGCAGAAACACAAGTAAACCCCAGATTTCCTGGATTTTAATCCAGAACCTCAGTCACAAGATGATCTTTCACATCTCCAGGAACAGTCTCTGGTGTGTTCAACACACATATGCAAATCAACACACTGGGCTGGTATTAAGCCAGCTTATTGATTATTATCAAATGCATGGAAATACTTTTTCACAGTTGAAACCATATTACATGGACAAGATCAGAAAGACTTGACTGAACAAGGAACTGACAAGAGCATTTAGGCAAAGTGCTATCTATTTTAAAAATAGATTATATTGGATTTCAGACACCTTTTGAGACAGGGTTCACCAGACCTTAAACATGGCCAAAGCTTCATAACTTACGCAAAAATCTTTCCAGAACTTTGGATCCAGATGCAGGTGCAGTTTTGCAGAGACATTGCAGCAGGAATTTGCATTTGCACTAGATAAGCCCTGACTCTTTTGTTACCCCTTTCCTCCAGTTCTAATCCTTTTTCAGTATGAGTGGGAATGGAATTCAGGATTTACTGCCTCACTAAGTGAGTATGAGACAATAGTTATCTGATGAGCATTCACAGCAGATCAGCAAATGCTTCTTCATTTGTGTGATTCAGCACAAATTTAAGGAAAAGGCTCCTCTTTTCAAAATAACAATGCTTTACACATTAAATGCAAGTCTCAAGGAACCACATCTTACCTTTTTAAATGGTCCAAAAGGAAAAGGAATGTCACAAGGTTGGGTTCTGGAAGCGACAGCAACAAATTCAGCATACAGCTTTCCTTTGCAACAGGATCTGAAAGTGCTGCAAGACAGAGAACAAAACATCAGCCCAGGCAGTGAGTGAGGATCTGACCGACTGTGCCACCTCCCAGCCAGCCATAGGGATGGGCCTGGATGGACTGTGGTTACATTATAGGCTGGAAGGAAGGTCAGAGTTGCACATCAATATCCCATAGCATCTCTTTCCTTTATTTCATAAATGCATAGAGACTATTTTTCTCTCAAGCAGTTCAAGTGCTTTCAGACTTTCAATCATTGGTGTCTTTCCCCTGCATCAAGGTAAGATGGGGTACACCCCCCTCCCCTCCAAAGGGGGCTTCCCTGGAAGCCTGACTGGGCAGTCAGCCTGTAGAGCCCCAGCAGGCAGGCTGGCATCCTGCTCTGAGCCCATCCTTCAGAACCCTGGGCTTTTCCAGCCTGCACTCCAGTGTGGCAGGCACCCATACTCCGCCATGTGGGAAGGCGCTGTCATTCCAACGCTCCATTCTGAGCTCTGTTCCACAGCCCTCACAGCTTGCTCAGGCTTCTGTCCAACACTGCCCATTGTGTTGCTTCAGGAGCAGCCTCCTCCTGAAGAGCTTCCATCCTCAAGGGTTCCCTCTGCTGCTACCCACCGATGCCCTCGGCGAAGTTGGGGTACAGCTCGTCCGTGAACAGGGGCTCGGGCAGCTCGCGGAAGTAGAGCTTGAGGGTGCCCGCGATGGCGTTGACGTCCATCTCGCTCATCATCACCGACACGTCCTTGTTGTCTGAAAGAGGGCAGAGCAGGGGCAGGGTAAAGGAGCTGCTGGCCTTGCATTCCTTCTTTTCTTCGCTTTGGGTCTGTTTATCCTTTGTCTTTGCACAAATAGCTGAGAGTTTTCCTGTTTACATTTCCCCAGATTAAATGAGCAACCTTCTGACAACCGAGAAGTGCTGCACAAATCACTGCAAATGGCTTTACATCAAGTCAAGAGAACCTCAGGCTCCCAGGTTGCTGTGCTGTGCCTGGTCTGAACAAGCCCTGCTTGACTGTATTTATATGCATTTCGACTTTTGTTAGTGACAACAGTTGTTATTCCAATTCTCTGCTTCTAACAGCCTGGAATAACAGACTCTGAGGTCTCTAACTCCCCACTGAGTGTAGCTAAAGCAATTCAGGGCTCACATTTCACTTTTGTTACTATTAGGAACAATAAAACCACCCCCTTTCCCTAAAACAAATACCAACAAGCAGAGCCAACACTGGTTTAATGGAATTTAGCATAAAACAGCATTTAACAGAAATGAAAAAAGTTGGTTTTCTATCTGTGAAAGACATCTATTGCACATTCAGCAGAGGTTTTGGTAGCTTAGGGGGATTGAAAAGAAAATCCAAGAAGGAAAATATTTCACTAAAGAAGTGAAGGAAAAGTGCAGGGAGGGTGAATTTGGGCAACTGGTACAGGCCTCATGACTGCTTGCCTAAAAAGGGAGCTGGAGTGTGGCTTGAGCAGTTCTTGGACCATCATGTGGAGGCAACTCAGAGGTGCTTAACCTGCCTGATCTCGGGTGCCTTTTGGGACACACAGACTGTTGTTTTAAATGCAGCACCTGTACGGAGCCCTTTTCTGCTCAAGATCAAAGAAAGCTTTGCAAATATCAAATTATGTAATTTTTTTACAGCCTGTGCACATCAGTCTAGACAGAGTTAAGAAGAGAACTCAGGAGCCCTGACCATCCAACCCCAGCTTCATAAACACTCCTCATAGTCAACCTTAGAATATCTTTTTTGCTGGCTTCCTTTCACAAAACATTCTTAATTTTAAGGACTTCTATTAATTTGGAGACCTCACGACAGTGAGGAAATTATGACTCCCGATTGCTGACGTTTCCCCTGAGAAAGGTGTCTGTCTTTTCCAAAGATTTGGCAAGGCAGGTAAACCCACCATTTCATGTCTGCTGGGAAGAATAACAAAAGCATGGTTTGGAACAAGGATCCATCCTGTTGTGTGACTGAAGCTATATCAGTAGCTGAAGAATATTAATCAAATATGCAGCCAGGGTTAAAATGATTCTCCTTGTGCGAGAATCTCTACCTCTTAATGCTTCTTGGGGAACATAAGATTAAGAACAGCAGAGCCACCTGACAGGGAGCTCAGGCAGGTTCTTGCAGAGCAAAGGAGAACATCAGGCACAAATACTTACTGACATCAAAGGCAGCTTTCAGAGCCTGGATGTCCGTTGCAACCCCAGAGACTCGGTAGATTCCCACCTCCTCCATCCCGCGCCGCTCGATCTCCTCCACGCACTGCCGCACTATGTAAGGCACCTTCGACCTCTCTCTCCTTCAGAAAGCCAGAGAGACGAGTTCAGCAGAGCCCAGGCCCTCAGTGCCTGTTCCCCCAGCCAGCCAGGCTGGCTAAAACCACCCCAGCATTGCACTGTGCAAACCTCTTCTGGAAAATGAGGTGGGAGGAAGTCTGAGCAGGCAACCAGGACTGAGCTGAAAAACTGGAGAGGGTTTTCTGACTGTCTCAGCCTGGCTTCCCTGAGCACTTGAGCTTCTGGCCAGGTCCCAGTGCCCCTAGAGCCTATGACTCTGCCCAGGTAATCAGAGGATTCCCAAACATTCCTTGGATACATAGCAACTCTGTTGCTTTCAAATTAATACAATTCCATAGAGAGGAAATACAACACTTCCCAAACCATGTAACAGAACAAACAGGTTTCTGCTGGCAAATGATTCACGACAAAAGATCAGGGGTTAAAATAATACAACAGGATCCAAAGACCTTGAACATTTTTGATTATGGAAAGGAAACATCACTGTTCAGTGGCTCTGGAAATTTGTGACCATGTCAGCTAACTACAGAGAAGGCAAGGGCAAGAGGGATTTCCGGAATTCAGAGAAGCTGTCAGTAAACACCCTGGGTCCCACAGCCCGTGTGCACACTGCTTTTTTCCCCTGCAAAAGATGAAGCTGGGAGCACACAGAGCATCTCCTGTCTGCAGCCACATCTGCCCACTACACGAGTGGAGGAGGCTGGACTGCCACACCCCTCGGGGGGCACAGGCAGGTGCACCCCACTGGCCAGTTGCCTTTCTGCAAAACAACAGGGAGAAATGTGACCCCCGAGCTCACTTGGTGACAATGGCGATCTTGACCCCAAACACGCCGGTCTGTTTGCGGGACGGCATCCTTTTGAGGCTGAACTCCCTGCTGGTGAACTTCACCGACAGCTTCACCTCAACCTGGACAACAGAGATCAGATGGCACTTGGTAAACGTTTTATTTTATTTTATTTTCCCCATGCTGCAATGAAGAGCAAAGAAATAAAGCCCACGGGAGGTACAGAAGCAGAGCTAATTTCTGTTTGCTGCACTTACCCCATTCATGGAGATGACCGTGCGCTGCCAGTCTTTGTCCTGCAGTGCCTGCGGGTCCAGCTGGAAAAGAGAAGTTACCCATGAGCTGGGAACAGACTTCAGAGAAACCAGCTGGCCTGGAAGGCTTCTGCAAGTGAGCAGGGCACCATCACTTTTAACATGTTATTTCTTGTCCACAGGAAAACACACACTCCAAAGTTTTCCCAGTTTCAGGTAACGGGATGCTCAGATATTGTGTGGTTCTCTAAGCAGGGCTGAGGAGGACTCACATACATAGAAAAATTCAGCAACATGTGTGCAGTGTCTGCTCAACAACAAAGGCAACCTCAGTGAGCACAGTCAATGTTTGAATAGCAACAACCTGAGTTTGTTGCCATGGCTGTTTGCATTCATGGCTGTGGCACACACAGAGGCACATGGACAGCCAAAATCATCCCATCCCACAGGGCCAGGAGTCAGAGAAGAGGAGGAGAGATTTCTGAAATAATTCTGATTTGAAACAGAGAAACTGTCTCCCACTGCAGTTTTCTACAAACAGGTGAGGTTGGGTGAGTGTGAAATTACTGCACTGAAATAAAAAACCAGGCTGGAGAACTCCATAGCTCTTGGCTACAGAGCCAACAGCTTCCAAGAAGGACTGAATTCAAAAGACATAATGACCTTAAGAGTGAGATCAAGGAAGAGAAATACAAAGTGATCCATACACAGGCAAGTAACTTTAAACAAACCGAACTTCTGTCAGAATCTGACAGAGGAGAAATGGAGAAAATCGGCCCAGAAATCATGGAAAGTTGTTCTCTTTCAACCTGCTTAGTCCTTTTCATTTCTATCTGAGAATGGAGACAGGAAGAACACCTGACCCTGCTACTGGTAGAATTCATTAAACAGAACCAAGTTCCAATCTCCCATTTTCAGCTTTGCTTGATCTCGAGTGGACAGTTGTGAGGCTGGGGAGCAGCTGACTCGAGTGCTCAAACATCACCCAGCAATTCCAACACTGGCTGGGAGAGCCCAAGCACATCCAAACCCAGGTCCAGGGAGACTGGCAAGAGAGAGGAAACAGCTGCCTGCACCAGGACTGGATCAGCAATCAGAACCAGCCAAAGTGGGAATTTGGTGCCTCCTGAGATGGCTTTGTAGCACTTGGCTCTGGAACACTGAGGCACAGTAAGACCAGGAGAGGCCACTGCAGTAGCCTCTGTCTTGAGTTTACTGCTGTCAGCAAACGCACCCTCAGCAACCAGAGGTACTTTGCAGCACAGCTCCCCCCTCTCACAGAGCCCTGTGCAGAGACAGAGTGCTCTGGCAGGTGAGAGAAATGCTCAAACAACAGCAGCTGCAGGAAATTCTGGGAGATCTGAGACAATCATGGTCACAGCCTTTCCGAACATCGGCAGAGCAGCCCAGTGCTGCTGACAGCTACAGAGACAAGTGCCCCCATGCCCTTCCCCAAAGAAAGACAACCAGCAGAGAGGAGAGTTTCACGCTGCAGAGACCCCAAGCAGCAACAGAACAAGCAAGTGAGGCCAACCTTGTGCCTGCGCACTCTGTCCCGGACGTGAGCCCACAGCGGGACGCTGCCGGCACACACGTGCTTCCCTGGGGAACTGGACCGGCTCCTGTAGGTGCAACTCCGCCACAAATTCCTGAAGACCCCTTGTAAGGAATAGTCAGTAACCAGTAGCTCCCACATCCTGGGACTGCACAGAGGTCCAGGAGGCCAATGGGCAGCAGTGCTTGGCTCCAGTGGCTCAGCAAACCCAAACTGCAGCTCCTGCCAGGGGGGTTGGCTTTTAACTCCGGCGGAGCAGATCCGCCCCCGCCCGTGTGCCTGGCCAAGGTCCCCACGAGCTGGCCAGAGTCTAGGCTGTTCTTCCTTCAACTTCCGTGCTGGAAGTTTGGTTTCTTTCAACAACTGCATTCTTTCCCAGAATCAAGAGGAAACCATTTCTGAAGTGACTGGTTTCCTATGGAGGACAACCATGCTCAGTATTCCTGAAACCTTCATCTCCATCTGCCTAAAAAGTTATCTGGTTAAGTCGCCAAAATGGCCCTGCTGATGGACACAGTCACAGCCAATCCTCCTGCTCAGAAGCAATTTTCCATATGTTTTTAGAAGAGAGTCACTGGAAGTGTATTATTTATAGCAGGGACAGACTGCTTAAGACTGAAGAAGAAGGAGGGTTTTGAATATTTGCCAAAAACATTAAAGGAAGAGTCCAGCAGAATCCAGTTACAGTTTTATTTAAGCTAACAGGTATTACTGGTTATGTCTCAGTACTGACCAGGGAACTCCTGCCACTGCACAAAGTGAAAGCAAGTAAATAGCTGATAAAAATACGAGCCAAACACCAGCCTGCTCTGTCTCAAGAGTGACTTTCACATGGCTGCAAAGGACAAGCAGCAGCAGAGTGCTGGAGCTGAGAGCTCACAGAGACTTCACCCTGCTGGGTAACTGCTGGAGCTGAGCAAGGCCTGTGGACATACCCGAGTGTCCCTGCTGTTGCCTCTTGCTCCCTTCTCCCTGAACTTTGCTGCAGGGCTGGCAGGACTCCTGCCCTCCCCACTGCTGTTTGATCCCTGCTGGAGAACAGCTGGTACTGAATGGAGCCAGGGACAACAGGCACCAGGGTTGGCTGACCCGAGCCAACCCTGCATAAATCACTGGCAATAACAGCAATTAAGAAAAAAAAAAATCCCCCCCAAGGTGCTTTTTAAATAACAAAACAAAATGATGGAAGCTATTAAAAGAGCAAAGCTTGAATAAGGTCTCAGCAACACTGAGCGAGACAGGAAAATCAGGTCTCACAGTCTGATAAGTCACAGTAGGAAACAGTCAACAGGAAACCAAGAACGTCATTGAGACTTTGAGCTTCAGTCCTGGACCCAACTGATGACTGACCTTCTGGGGCCAGCAAGAGCAACAGAGCAGCTGGAGCAGGAGGTACAGAGCACACTGAGCACAAAGAGCTAGCAAGAGAGATGCTCCAGCACAGAGAGCCTGTGACAAATGGGGTCGTGCTGTCTTCTGGCCTGATTAGGAAATCACTGACCTGGAAGAAAGAACATGGAGTAGAAGAATGCAGTCCCCAACCAGCATGGCAAAGGGAGGCAGCTCCCAGCGAGCTGTGCCAGCTCAGGCAGGGGAGGCCCTGTGCAACGGCTGCCTCTGCATCTGACAGTGACATTCACTGCCCCTCTACACAGCTCCTTCAAACAGTGGCTTGGTTTGAATGACAAAAGCACCCGTGCCATCTCCACTGAAACAGAACCACTGTGTTGTTTCCCTGCCCTGTGCAAATAGGGCAGACTTACTAAACCCCTCACAGACTGTACTGCAGGGGCTTGTTTGCACAGTCCCCACCAAGAGCTCGTGCTGCACAGGAAAATACAAACCAACCAATTTGTCTGTTTGCTGCTTCCTCTCTTGTAGCCTGCTCCCTGGTATTTGTGATGGCAAGCTGCAGCCCCAAATTCACTACATGAATCAAGCCAACACCTCTCTGTATCCTGCCCAAAACACAACAGAACGAAGCAGCTCAGCACCACGGGGGTTCTGAGTGCAGGTCTGTGGCCCTTGTAGCAGCTCAGCACTGAATTCAGACAGGGCACAGCAGTCAGAGAGCAGAGCAGGGCAGTGAGGACCTGGGAAAAGCAATCTGGGGGTGCTAGTCTGGCAAATGCAAGCTAGGCACTAAGAAGGGTGTCTGTGCTTTGCTTTAGGAAACCACCACAGGGAGCTTGATGATTATTTCTTTTTCCCCAGAGAGAAAAGCAAACATATAAAAAGAGGAAAAAACAGAAGCCTCAGCAGAAATGAAAGAGCAAGGACTGAGGAAACATTAAGGTTACTGTTTTTTATCTATTCAATCACATTACTTCTTCCCTTTATTAAATCTCCCTGGCAACTTTACACTCCATCAATTTTGAATTGTAACTGATGTGACATACATGCTGTCAGAGTTCTCACTGCTGCTGGAAACTCCCAGTCCAGCCATAACCCCATTCTTCTCACAGCTCCCCACTGACAGGTTAATCTTTCCCACCATCACCCTTTAGCCATGACCCATTGCCTTCTTCATTTCCCCCCTATTTTCATTGCTGGGACACTGTTCTGCTTGAGCAAACTGCTTAAACGAACTCGAGGGTGTAAAGGGTTTCTGAGTTGACACTTGGGAGGTACAGCAGGGAAAACATGGTTTACATGGAAAACAACTTAGTGCCTGAAATAGCCATGGGCACTGCTATGAGACATCCCAGATAATTAAGCAGATAAGAGTGATTGTTTTGCAAGGCAACAGAGGAATGATGTTGCACTTCTTCCACAGAATGACTGATCTATGCTCACATCCTCCCTGATTTTCCAGCACTGCTGTGAGAGAGAAGGAAATACTCTGTCTGAGCTGATCGTGCAGAAAAAAGAAAAACAACAAAGGAAACAGCATTTCTAGGAGGCACCAACGGGAGGAGCCGGATCCCAGGGTGAAGTATCAGTTTACTCACCAGTCTGTTCCCAGGGCAGTCGGGCTGACCCATGTGCCCACTAAGATGCAGTCTCAGGACCAAACAAAGGCTGCTGTGCTCAACACAGGGGGATGTGTCTGCCACTGAAGTGCAAAATTCAAAGAGCAAAAGAGGCAACCCAAGGGTCAAGGATGGATTGCAAGGTAACAGCAGAAAGAAAATTCCCCAGGGTGTTCACACTGAGAGGAGCTGATGCTTACAGCCTCAGGGCCTCCTATAAAATGATGGTCATTCCTTCCTGCCCCAAGTCTCCCCATAATTTCAGTTGCAGTGTAGCCAGGAATGGTGTTTCTCATGTCTGAGGTGCAGCAGAAGCCCCCAGCCACGTGTGGCCATCCAACTGCACACCCAGAGCAGCCGTGCCCACAAGGGCTGCTGAGGAATTCACTCCTACATTTCCAGGACGTCCCCCAATTCTAAAACCTCATTGTTTTATTTTTCAGGGATAAAACTTGCAGGTTGGCAAGGAAAGAAGCAGCTCTTGCCTGTGGCTATAAATACAGGTAAATAAAATATTGCATTGGAAAAGAAAATATGAGCAATGGAAGCTACTAAAATTGCTGCCCATTCCTGGAAACTTGTGAGCACATGGACCAATTTCCAGTCTTCCTTCCTCCAGCGCCATAATGTAACGGAGAGATTTAATAAACATTTTCACAGCCAAGACAGTCCTTGTCTCCTTGATGCATTGTCTTCATCACTGAAGCTCAGAGAATGTGGTGAGTCAGAATTCCCAGTAGTGGGAAGTTGCATATTTACAATAATACATGGCTTAACAATACACTACAATTTAGCCAAGACAGAAATTCCTCTGCTTTTATCAACAGGAGGATGCAGGCACTCATGTTCCCAGAGTTTTTAACTAAAGGGAATTTATGGAAAAGAAGTCTTACTTCAACTTTACAGACCTTGTCTTTAAACAGACAGACTTTGGCTGAATGACCACAGTGCAACAAAAACAACAACAAACCAGAAAGCCCAGGATAAACTACCAACTCTAAAGTAAACAAAATTTGATGTAAAAGCACCTGGAGAATCCTAAAAGAAAATAACTATAAAACCAGTGATTGAAAAATGCTTTAACACAGCATTTACACAGCCAGCCTTCAGCCACAGGCTGCCATCTGATTTTGTTGTTGCATTATTATGGTTTCTTAATCAAGAAATGGTGTTTACTTTAAAAATAAAACTAAATCAAAGTAAAACCTTTAATAATTTTTATCAATCCAAAATCTTACCAGACTGTCTTATGCCTTTTCTTTGCAGTTATTCAACAGTGTTTAAAATTTGTGTGATGGAGCAGAAATCACTGAGAATTGAGAGGATGCTCTGGCAGTTCACCAAATTTCTTTACAAATTGTAACGAGGATGTACAGAAAGCAAGAGAAATTTTGCATGTGCCTTTTATGATATAACAGAATGCAACATTTGCAAATTAATCAAAAACATTTTTATTTATTTTTTCCAATTTTTAAACCTTCCCAGTGTTTAGCTTTTTCTAAAAGAATCAAGATGCAATTAATATGTGTCACCAAAGAGTATTTTTACTTACTAATTTTAATGTAAAATGTATTAACAGAATATGCCATTGCTGTGCAGAAAAATACCCGCTCCTGTATGAAGAAAAAAACTGCTTAAAATTTAAAAGAGTTGATTTGGTTTTAAAATCATTCTATGTAAAATATTGGGAGGATTTAGTGGGTCAGTGATTTCAGGGTTCTCTGTTATAAGCACACAAATCCCCGGGGCATTTCAGGGCTGCTAACTTGCTCTTTTGTAGTTGCTCATCTCCATGGAAAACAACCTTTGTTAGCGGGAGGGACACAGAGATTTCTGGTTAGCCTGAGACACACACAGGAGACACCCTGTGCTGGCATTTATCGATTTGTACACGAGTTCCCTTCCAAATCCCACCAGGCATTTGAGACAAAAGCTCTCTCTGTGACACGTGGCAGCCTCGGGCTCAAGGAGGGAGGGAAGGGACAGCCCTGATGGGAGTCATTTGGCCAGTGAACCCTGGCAGAGCAATGGGGTCCCACAGGCTGCCCTCAATCCCAGCTGTTCTGCAATCCCAACCACTGCTCCAGTGCTGGGAGAGGGAGAGGCACTGGTACACGGAGGGGAATGGGGAGATCTCTGAGCATCCCAGAGACAAAGGTATCTGGGCAGGGTCTCTGCTCTGTACAACAGCCACTCCAGCACAAAGAATGTGCCCTCAGAGCAGCCATTTAAACACCCCCCTGAAGCTGTGGACAGACAGTGCAACAAACTGGAACAAGAGGGGGAACATATGTTCCTGATGTCATCCTCCATGGATGGCCTACACAGCAGCTCCCCAAGAGCAGCATCTCTTTGCAATCACCACCTCCCCTATTGTATTACAAATTTGCCACACAAAGTGACCCACACGGGTTTTCTGCAGTGGAAATCCCCCTCGGATGCCCCCTGCTGTCATGGACACCATGCCCAGGACATGGCTGTTATCAGGACAATAACCCTGCCCCCCAGGGCCCGGCCAACACATCCATCACCTTCCAGCACATGATTTACAGAGGGGAGAGGATATTCATTACTTCCTCCTGCCACAAATGGAGCATCCTCAGCAGTGCCCAGGGGCAGTGCAGCTCCTGTACTGGGCTGGAAGTTTGGAAGTTAATGGGCAAATGAGAGATCAAAATAAACTTTCTTGAAAAAGCAGCTATTCCATAAGGATGCTGAAGCAGGCATAGGGTACAAAGCAAGAAGGAAAAAGCTGCTGCCTTCCTCTCTGTGCGTCACATTGTGTACCTCACTGTCTAGACAAAAATCTTCAATACTTAGACACTCAGAATGCAGGAAAACAAACCTCCCTGGTGCACTCCAGGATTCAAAAGTCCTGTGATGTTTTGCAGTAAGGGTAGCAGGAATGAGCTCAGCACAGTCTTACCTGGATCTGCCCTTTCCCCATGATTCGATCTGTGCTCTCTCCATCCTCTTTGGTGAGCTTGGTTTTGTTGTAGCACTTTTCATAGCACAGAATCCGCAGTGTCTGTGAGCCCTCCAGCTCAATCTCGAACTCCTGCAGGGCACCAGGACAGGAAAGAGCTATGGATGCATCACAGGAGGACACCAGTCTCATAATAATCAATTTAGTCTCCTTAAAATTCCTCAGAAGGGAGCACTTAAGGACTGACCAAAACCTCCTCCCTAATGGAGTTGGTCTAGAAATAAAGTGAAATTGTATTTTGTATATATAAGGTGGTCAAATCAGAGACCAAGATGGTTCACTCCTTGGTCAGGTTTCACTGGGTCTCAGCAATGCATTGTTCAAAGACACAAACTCACCCACCTTCCTTGTAATGAATTTTGCTCACCACCAGTTGCCTGCTAACAGGCAAAATGTCTATAGCTAATTCTTCCCTCTCTCAACAAATAAACAAAACCACCTCCTTCAACATATTTTCACTTGTGTCTTTAAAAAAATAATCAAACATGCATCTGTTTAAATGATGAAATGCTGGACAAGACTCATTTGTATCAAATTGTTTGTTTAACTACAGCTAATCCAAGAGAAAATCTTCTGCAAGCCCTGACAGCCAAATGAACCTGGCAGGAAAGGGCTTTCTGAGCAGCAGCAAGTGCAGCACAAGTGCTGAGCATGCAGCAAGTTCTTCCATTGGTGGATCTTCTGCCCATTGTGCATTGATGTTTGGCACATGGAATAAGTCACAGCAAAAAAAATCAAACCTACCTCGTTCCAGTTAGGCTCTGTGGTGTCTCTGTAAACTCTAGTTTTGGCCTTGTTCACAAAATACCCAAAAGAATCCACCTCTAACGTGCAGTACAAATCTGAGGAGGGGAGACAGCAACAGAAACTTAAAAAGTTTCTAGAATCTCCAATTAATTCACATTAATCACTTCCAGGGTGTGTCTTCAGCTCCACCATCTCTGTATTAGTACCAGTAACATCATTCCATACAAATCTCATCATCTGGATCAGCCCAGCTGCCTTTAGGAAGCTGAAGTACCAGCACAGCTGTATGAATTATGTCAGCACAGACAAGCCCTTCAACTCTATCAAAAATCAGGCATGTGCTGTTATCCAGTATTCCCCAGCTCAATCCACACTGAGCTGAAGGTGTACCCCAGTGAGCAATAAACCTTCCCCAGGTAGACACTGGACCCCATAAACACAGTGATTTCCCTAGAACAGCATCAGTGCAGGATCCCTCAGGGAGCAGGTCAGGGGGCAAAAGCCTCATTATTTTTACAAAGTGGTTAAACAGGCAGTATTTGGTGCTTCTGAAGAGCTACTAATGAGCTGTAGACATTGCCCCACCTGTAAGTTATGTCCTAACTTACAAATGTGGTGTCAGGCAGCAGCTGGGCAGTCAGTGGCTCAGCAGGAGGGATGTACTCCCAGTGCACTCCTTTCCTCCCTGGACTGCACACTTAGCTTGGATAAGAACAGGATCCCCAGCCACACAGCCAGGTAACCTGGGCAGCTGTTCTAGATTATCCCCATCAATGTCTGGGAATCACAGTCATTCCTACCAGGGTCCTCCTCACTCTAGTCTGTCACCTTTTTTGATCCTTCTGTCAAATCATGCCCCTGAATTTTAGCACCTCTTTCTTCACAACAAAAAATCTGGATGCCAGAGAATGCTTTCCATTCTTTCATTGTAAAACAAAATACAGCTGAAAGAATTCAGTATAAGGGCTGACTTGTTTCTAGAAGAGGTGGGTAATCAGCAAACACTGTTTAAAACCCCAGACTAGGCCTAAAAAATAAGTGCTGCATGCTTGACCCTTGATGGTGATCTTTCTGAGAGTGCACAGCAGGAACTTCCAGTTCTCCAAAACCCCTCTCCTCCTCACCATCAGCACAGATGCTGCAGTCCTAAATCAGCCCATGCCCAGCTGTCCCAGCATATGACTTCTCTCACCCCTGTCAGTACCTCTGTGTGTCACAGAACTGCAACTCACTTGAGCTTTGCTTGAATCCTGTGGCAGAGTGGACAATGACATTCAGGAATCCATAGAGACCCGGGGATTCATCATCTGTACAAAAGACCCAAGGAATTCTGTTACATTCACAGTGGAGCTGAGAGTGATGAGACTGATATTACACAGGTTAATGAGCAGAGGGTAAACTGTCCCTAAGGATGGCAGGAGCACATAACAGCCATTCTGGCAAGAGAGGAGACTGTTCCAAGAGCACTGTCACCTGCAATGCCTTCTGGCAGTGGGAGGCTTCTATAGTGACATTTCTAGGGTCAGCAAGACAGCATGGAAGAAATTCAAGGTAAAATATAAAGTAAAAATATAAAAGTAAAATATAGAGGCTAAATCTAGACTAGCAGATTAAATAGGAATTTAGGATGGTCTCTGACACAATTTTGGCCAACTAGTGTTCTTCCAAAGGACTCCCAGGCATAGTTCAAAGCTGTCCCAGGTTAGGACTCCACCAGGCACTCCAGTACCTTGCACAACAGCTACATATAAGGACCATTTAATAGTCAATGAATATATATTGGAGGATGTTGGGGAATATTTTGCTAATTTAGATGTTGCCACATAACGTGGAGCTTGTATTTTTATTGTTGCAGCATTAGCATTGGGATGACAGACTGTTCTTGTTCCTGCTGCTCTCTCTTGGTATGCCATCATCTACTTCAACTAAACCACACAGGCTGGTCACACATGGCCTCAGGTTTTGTTTTACAGGGACTCTCAGTTTGTAACTCATCACCAGGCTGCAGTGGGTAGCAAAAAGAACCAGAGGAATTCACAAAAGCAGGCAGGGGAGAGTTTCACTGCAGCTGCACCACGTGAAAACATAAACCAAAGGTCTTACCTTCCTTATTGATAGTGAGGGGAATGTTGTGGACTGTCTGAAGCTTCACACAGGAGTTTGTCAGCATCTGGAGCTCCACCGATGTGAGTGAGAAGCTTTTAAAGCCTGCCAAGGAGATTCAAAGGGGGAGGAATTCAAATCTAAAGGAGAGGCTGGATACCTTCTCCCTCATCCAGGGCACACAGGGGTTGGCTGCTCCCTGGGCAGTGTCCAGCAACAGCACGAGGGGCTCAGGGCTGTGCTGCTGCTGCAGCCCAGCTCTGCTGAGGGCACACTGAGTTACTGTGGGGAGTAAAAACTCTCAGGATGGTTCACAGGAAACAAGGGGAGGTTCTTACTTTCTTGTAAAGCCAAAAACCACCCCTGCCAAAAAAGTAACTAAGTTTCTTTGGACTGGAGCCAGGTAAAAGCGTGCAGCTGTTCCCTGTACCTGGAATTGCAGGTGCAATTGAGCTCTGATCTCTAGGGTAAACGGGAGCATCTCTACCACACTTACTCTGTGTTCTCCCTACACATTCCCTACACTTTGCTGCAAGCAGAAGTCCCCAAACAGCCTCAGACATGCAGAGACAGGAGACATGCTTGTTGTGCTGGGGATTTCAATCCATATCTCTGATTTTGCAGGTTTTCCTCATCCTCTGGATTCCTGCTCTCCAGTAAGATCACAGTGTATCAATAACAGGTGAGGGACACTCACATTTCTTCTGCTGCTCTCGGATATTCTCCCTCCACTCTGCCCTCTCATAGTCCGATGAAATGAGGAACGTGTAACTCTGCCCAGGAGAAGAGAAGAAAATAGGGTGTGCATTAGTCTGAGGGCTGGCCTGCCTGTCCCCACCCTCCTCCAGAGCTATGTGCTGGATACACTTTCCTTCTGGCACTCCTGCCACTTGTCCTGCATCACAGCTCTGTCAGGACAGGCAGGGCTGTGGACATGATCTTTTGGCAAAGCACCAGCAGTGCCAGCATGGACAGTCAGAGCCCCCTGAGCCCCACCCTGCCAACAGCAGCTGTGTCCCTGCAGCCATGGGCTCCCATGGCAGCTCTGTGCCATGCTCACAACACCAGGAACCCCAAAAGCCTCCAGCACAGGCCTAGACACTGGTGCAAGCTGAGGAAGCAGCGACCAGCTCATGGATTGTCACCAAGCAGTAACACAGTCTTGTGAGAATCCTTTGCCACGTGCATGGAAAGGCCACGGTGACAGGTCACAGCACTGCCAGAGCAGGGGACAGATTAGTCACAGCCTTACAGGATGTCATCATAACCCTTGGTACAGCAAGGGCTGGGGGTCTGCTGCTTGGAAAGGGCTTTCAGGACAGACAGTGGAGGCCACAGAGACCTCCTTGTGCAACAGCCAATACAACCCCCCCCCCCACAGGCCCCCGTGGTCTCGGGCACACTGGGGGGCAGGGATGTCCTCTCACCTTCCCGTTGCGGTTGTGCACCCGGAAGGCCATGTTGGGAGACATCAGCAGTAGGAGGGATTCCTGCTCCGAGAGCTTCTTTTTTAACCTCTCAATGACCTTGCTGCCTTTATTGGCCCTCTGGAGGGTGGGGGAGAGAGGGAGACAGAGGACACATGTCATTCTCCAACATCTATCCCATTTACACTAACGGATATATTTTAAAATCAACAGTCCCTCCCCTCTGTGAGTAGGGAAATGGCCCCATGGCAGAAGAAATGCTGTCAACAGGATCCACAGGGCTCCCAGCTGCTCAGGAACATGTTCCTGCAGTACCTCTACACTCACACTCGGCTCTTCCCTGACTCCAGCTGTCCCAGATGAAGGTGCAGAGGTGCATGGCCACTGTCCCAGTTACACCCTGTACTTTCTGCCCAGAGGCTGCAGCAGCATCGTGTCACTGGGCAGCCACAACACTGCCATCTCCTCATTAACTAAGGAGACTGAAAGGAACTTCCCTAGAAGCTGCCCAGAACGCTCCCACCCACTGATCCATTTTCATCAGAAGTCAGCTAAAATCAGTTTTTCCTGGATAAAACCCAGTTCCAAACCCAGCCATGTGTATTGTTTGGCAGTGATGCACCACAGCATGTATCTTAAGACACCTGCACCTGGTGAGTAAGAGGTTTCCATGGAGTGTTCTTCCTAATATCTTCCTTTTTCCAGGAAGCCCTCTCTGAAAGCCAGCCAGGGCAGAGAGGCAGGAGTGTGGGGAATAATCTTGTCACGACACGATCAGTGTTATTCATATCCAGCTCTACACACCAGCAGGCCTTCAGTTTTCAAACTCTTATTTCTCTTTTGGGTTCCAGGAACCTAACACCTCTGAGAAAACATGTCTTGCAAGCAAAGAGAAGGCCAGAGACACCATGTCTGTGTCAGACTGTTCAGTCAACGTTCTACATACATTTGCTGATGCTTTGACATCAGTGAAGTAGGAAAAAGATTTAAAGGTATAACTGAGCTTGCAAAAACTGAGGAATACATGGCTTCTGACCAAAAATCACTTGCAGGATCATACTTTAGCAGCTAGAAATTTGCATGTCACAATCCCAGTCCTTCTCATGTCCACAGCATAAGAGCCCTGCCCTGCACAGGGATGCTCAGGGATAGCAGTCACAGGTGGTTTCATGAAGTAGAGAAGCTACTGGGTACCACTACAGAGTGTTTTTGTTTCTGCCTCCCCACAAGGCACCATCATTCAAGCTGTGCACAAGGATGAGCAATGATGGGCTGTGAAGCATCTGGGTATCACAGACCTCTGCTGAACAGCCTGTTCTAACACGACTCCCCACGCTGTGCAGCCCTGGGAGTGCTGCTGCTGCAGCACCTCAGCACAGACACTGAGTCTGTACCTGTCAGGGAGTGCTCAGCCCCTGTTACCTTTTCCCGTTGAATGTCGTTCTTGATCTGGGATATCTTGATCTTCATGGCATCCAGCTCCTCATCAGGTACCAGGGGGATATTGGGCACTGCCTCAGACTCATCCACCATTTGGAAGCTGAGGTCAGTGAGTGGGATGTACCATTTGCAGTCATATTGCTGGCTTTTCCTGAAAGGCAAAAAGTCCAAACCTTTTATTATTATTGGTGTTTGACAATACCCACTCCCCCTTCCCAGCTATAGTGCATAAGATACAGATATGGGTCCAACTTTACTGTGATTTTATGTGGAAAAAGTCTGGCAAAAGGCTGCTTTCCAGTAAGAAAGCCCAGCAGGGCAATAGCCAGCACAAGTACACAAGGCAACTCATTTTGGTAGCTAGTTCCTTTTATCCTAAGAAACCACAGCCCTCTCCTGCAAACCCTTTCAGTCCCATGTGCTCTCCCTTCAAAGCCTCCATGCAGCCAAAGTTCTAAAGCTGTGCCAAACCTCTGACCTGGCTGCCACCTGTGACCTAAACCCAGGTCTCTTTTGCCTCCCCAAATGGGGCAGGTGAGCCCCACCTCTATTGTCAGGAACATCCACTCTTGGGAACATCCCACTGCTTTGAAGGTTCATTCCTCACAAGCATGTGCTTCAAAAAGGGCAGGCATAACTTTTTGCTTGAGGAGGGCAAGGAGATGAGAGGGCTCTCCATTAGAAGAACATTTACCAAATGAAGAGAAGCCCTATTTGAGGCAGATATGTTGGTAATGGTTCCTCCCCCTCATTTGTCAAAAATGTCAACAAAACTGTCTTCATAGTTGCCCTTTGGGGTTGACAGTCTGTTTACTGCACCTTTGGCATTTTTCTGTAAAGCTGTTAACAGGCTGTAGCTGCAAAGCCAAAATTAATAACCTTAGTCACAAAAGAAAGTGAAGAATGTCACCTATTAAAAGAAAGTAGAAAAATTAATGGCATTTGTCCTGAATATCAGCACCTACAGCATATCCTATTTTCCTAGGAAGGCTCAGGGCAGAGATGGGAGGAATTAACCTTTCCTGAGGGATCAGGACATGGACAAGGTCTCATACAAGAAACAGTCCTGCCTTGCTGATTATTCCTTGTCTAAGTACATCTTGTGGGTTTTAGTTACCCAGGTTAGGGGGTTCACATGCAACTAAAACTGCTGGCTAACCCCAGGATTCTGTTGCAGCTGAGGTGCAAAGCACCCAGTTCAGAAGGCAAATCTCACCCTCCAATCTGCTTCTTGAGTTTGGCACACAGGAACAGATCAGTGAAAAGAAAGACGTGGCGCAGCTTGCGGGCCCCCTCCACCAGCTCCACCATGAAACTGTCCTTCAGCAGCTGCCGGTGCTGGGGGAAAGAGCAGGAGAAATGTGTCAGTGCAACACGAGCTCCAGATCTGGCACCGGGGCAACACATTCCTCAGACGTGACTCCTACCAGAGCAAATTCAGGAAATTTGTCTGATTCAGAAAAAAAGAAGACAGCCTATTAAATATTCCTGGCTGTAAACTCTGCTCCCTGCTGCTGCCCTCCCTCCCAGAGGCACAGATGGCCGTGCATCTCCTTCAGTACCCGGTGCTCGGTCAGACTTCAGGCTTCTCTCCATCACCTGTTCTGAGCCTGAGTGGAACTCACTGTGAGTCGCTGCCCAGCCTCTGTGTACCGGAGGGCCGGAATCCCCGAATTCCTGAATCTCTGCCAGGGAATCGTCCCCTCTGGAGCCAGCAGAGAGCAGCACACACCGCTTCTCCCAGAGCCACTTCCCAGCCTCTGCATTCAGCTTCAGCCACCTCTCCAGGGACAGAGCTAAGCCCTCCTCGGACACCTCCTCTCCCAGTCACAGCAGAGTTTGTCAACATTAACAGCTGAACAGCAACAGCAGCCATTGCTGCTTCTTCATTACAAGTGCTGCTAAGGGATAATTCCTGAACATGTGTATCCAGCAAACTTCTCAGTAGTCTCTTATCAGCCTGTGCTTTAATAGAACCATCTGGATATACCCCCACTCCATGTCTATTGAAATCTCTTTTTATATCATATAAAGACTCGCCAAATCTAGAAAATTCAAAGAAGTTGCACAACTCTGATGCCTTTATTCCTGTTTTTAGTTCCAGGGAGCTTTACAATCTCCTAAAGAAGAGGCACAGACAAGCAGGCATAAGCATTGCTTTCCTAATTCCCTTATGGGGGGGGAGTCCACAGTTAAAAGACTAAAAGGCTGGAGTGCTAGCACTTACACAGATGGCTGTGTGCAGGTACCAGTGACCACATCAGGAGTTTCATGCCCTGCTCTGTGCTCAGGCCTTCCACTCTGCTGTCAGGATCAACAGGACTCTGCACATCTGGCATAGATAACTCCCACTGATTTCCAAACAGGGCCATTCAACTTTGGGCAAGTTTTATTCCCACCAATATGTGTAACTGTCAGTGTTGCCTCACTTCATGCCCAGTACAAGCAGGAACCATCAGCTTCACCACACGTGCTAAGGCACACTAAGGAACTTTTCCATGACCCAAACTATTTCCTTGTTATTCCAGCTAAGAGGATGCTGCCCTGACACCACCAAGTGACATGTCACACATCCCTCACATGGCCTAGACAGCACTGTGGCTGCAGACAGGAGAGCTCTGCTGACACTGTCCAGGGCCAGCCAAAACCTCTGAGCTGCCTCACCGTGAGTCCTCCCCAGCCCCACACTCAGGACTTGCCTGTGTGACTCACTGCTGACCTGCTCCATCCCAGTGATCCCCACACTGGGAACACACACACAAAATTCTGTTTCCACGAGGCAGCTCAGCTCCACGTGCTCAGCACTGCAGCACCAGGAAAGCAGCTCCCCTGAGCCAGGTCAGGACACCCACACCAGAGCTGATGCCTCAGTTTCTCAGGTGATGCCCCCCAGGTTCTGTTCTCTGCGTGACTTAACAAGCCCTGCACACGCTCCCTGCCGAGGGTGTGGGAGTACAAACCCCCCACGCTGCCTCTCCTCCCGCCTACGGTTCTTCCCATCTTGGCTCTCCAACATGGAAACAAACCACATCAGTCCTGAGCCCAGCAGGCACCACGGCAGGGAATGCAGGGCAAAGAAATGCCCTTGCAGACACAATTCTTGTTTGCACAGCCTGTCCCACAGCACCCCAGACTTCCTGACACGCACTAGGAGCCTGCATTTTCCTGTCTGCAGCTGCACCACAGTGACCTGTGAAAGCACCCAGAGCAGTGTCAGCAGCTATCTGGGTGCTGCCTTCCATGACACAAAGGTCCTGGAAATCCATGAGCAGCAGCAGCAAAAGCTGCACCTTTCCCATCGCTGTGGGAAGCAAGGCTGCTCCCTAGCAGAATGTTGCACCATCTCTGGGTAGGACTCTGTGGAGATCTGGCATCCAGCAGTGATACAGGCTCAGAAGGGCCTGTACATACGTTAGTGTTTATTTTTAGGTGGGTGTGATCCTCCTGGCTCCTCCTCAGTGGTTTTGGGGCGAACGCCTGCCTGCATTAATGCCGCTGCTGCTTGTGCACGCCTTCCCCTCCTGCATGGTGAACAAACCCCAGGTAGGAAACTAGAAACACTGAGCTTCAAACTAAATAAACAGGAGGAGGTATGTTATCGGTAGCAAGAGCACTCCTGAGCTGCAAAGAATTTCATCTGGGAGCAATAATAAGCAGGAAAAGATATTTTCTGAGCAAGCCAAAACCCTGATCTCAGGTTTCTAGATCTGATGCATATTAATTACTCTGCAAATCAGCTCAGCTCCTCTGGGGCAATGAGAATAACTGCTTACTGCCAGCTCAACCTCTGCTCATTGTTCGTAGGTGTAAAGATGTTCTCACAGCTCACTCATCTCTGCTCCCCAGCAGGATGCAACACTGTCCTTTCCCTGACTGGCAGGGACATGGCACAGTCCTGACCTGGCCTTCTGCCCACCTCTGCCAGGCACTGGCAGTGTGTGAGGTGAGCCAAGAGCCCAGCCCAGCACCCTGCCAAGAGCACATCGCCCCAAAACCCGAGCAGGGAGCTCAGCCATTTGATGCCAAAACAGGGGCATGACTCACCAACCTTCACAGTTCCCACCTGTGCTGAGGTGGCCTCAGTCACACTGGGTTTATTTGGGTTTGCACTCCTGGCTACCAAGTATCCTGACTGACACAGACACAGTGCAACCCATGAGGCAGCAAAAAGTCCCACAAAGGGAGCTGGGTGGGAAGACAAGAAGGCTGTATTTCCTAAGCTTGGCTGGAACAGAAGGAAAGAGATGAAAGGGATATATTCCAGTCAGTCACTCAGAGGAAAACACTGAGCCTCCCAGACTTTTCAGTCTTCATATCTTCTTGCTCATGAGCTAGTTGGAAAGGTCTCCCTCCAGTGAGCAGCAGGGCTAAACTGCCACAAGAGCAACCAAGCATCTGGGGAGGAGAGTATGGGAGAAAACGTGTGGACCAAGTCAGGAAATCTCTCCTCACTACCAGCTTCTCTCAGAAAAGAGAACTTTTGTTATGGCTGGGCACAACAGGCATGTCCCAGGCTGCTCAGCATCCATGGAGCCGAGGAGGGGCACTTCCAGCTAAGGGGCACATCCTCTGTTGCACATTAGTCATCTTGCCGGGAGGTTCAGCAGGTCAGAGGGAAACAATAAAAGGATTTCCCAACTGGCTTACCAGATCCCTGCCAAACTCCACAGCGTGGGAGCAAAGGGCACCTTCCTGGACCTCCTAACATGAGTCAGCCCATCCTCTCCCACCCTGGGGGAGCCAGCAGCCCCCTCAGACAGGACTCCTGCTGGTCAGATGCCTGTGCCACCTCAGCTCCACAGGCCTTCTCTGGCAGTATGGGAACCAACACTTTGGTCAACTCCTCCCACCCAGGGCCACCAACTATGCTTTTGGTGGCCTCCTGTTAAACAGGGTCTCCTGAAACACAAGGCCTTTTGGCCGAGTAATCTTGCTGTACATGACATACAATAACCCACATGTGGGAAACCATCTCTCTACCTTGTTTCCAGAGTTACTCTGTTTGTTAGAGGTTGCCAGAGGGGATAATGGTTTCCTAAAACACCCTGAAACAACATAAACTACACAAAACCACATAAACATGCATGAAAACCTAAGCTTAGGGTGAGAGTGGCAGTACAGTGGCAGTGCGACCCCCGCTCTTCCACAGACAGCCCCCAAGACTGTCGAGTGTCCAGCACATGAGCTCAGCTCAGCTCAGCTACAGAAAGTTGTTCCAGGAAGCCTAGGGGGAAAACCTCCCAATTTTGTATCATAATAGACTGAATTAGGATCATCTTCAATCTGTTACCTTCAGTGGCTCTGGCAAAGCTCCTGTACTGGTACAATGTAAGTCCCAAGCCTCCTCTCCAGGCCCTACTTTTCTCTGCATGTTTTTTCACCTGCTTCTTCTCCCACCCACCTCAGTGCTCTGAACAAAGGAGTACCTCTGTCAATGCTTGGTTATCCTCTTTGGATTGCCTATTGCTGTCCTCCTCCTCTTACCTCTCTCACTAAGCATCTCCCCCTCCTCTGCTACCAACCTCACGACTACCTGTGTGCTCATCTACTCATCCTACGGTGTTTTTGTGCTGTTTGCATATGAGAATCCTGCTGCTGTCACAGACTGATTAACTCCAGGAAGTGTGGCCAGCTTGTCTGAGACACATTACAAAAAGTGGAATTTAAAAACCTACTCAACCAGAACCACAGCTGCACAAAAGGCCATCTCTCCTCGCCTGTGTGCCGAGGAAGGAGCTCATCTGATGTGGTGACAGCAGAGCCCTGCAGTGTGTGCGTGGGAGAGAGCCCCAGGAAGGGCTGGAACATGTGTGAGGCAGAGGGAGGAGGGTAAAAGCAGGAGATGGGTACTGGCACATGTCAGTGAGGAAGAGCTGGTTTGGCTTTCTGCAGAGCGTAGGAAGAAAATGATTCCTCGTGTGTGTGTGTGTGTGCGTGTGCTGCAAGACCAGCACTGCAGAATAAAGGGATGCTCTGCCCAGGGAATTAAACTGGCTGCACTTTGAGCATTTTAATAGCCTTTCTTTCTTCTTCCCGAAGCTCCTGTCACCAGGAGCCCTCTGGCTGCAGCTGTAAGACAGAGTGTGAAGCAGCCAAGATCATTTCTGAGTGCTCAACTGACAACATCTGCCCAAGGCCTCCAGGAGCAGTAGGCACCACGTTGAGCTTCCAGCTTTCCAAAGGCTTCAGTCTGCACTTCTGCTCCCTTGCAAGATGACCCAAGTGCTACAGTCATTTGCATCTGGGTTTAGTTGAAAAAAAACACAAGGTGCAGTACATAGAGCTGCTCTGTTAATAAGAGTAAAAAAGGTTATTACTCCTCTCCTTCTGCACATAATAGTGGCACATTCTTCATCCTAAAGCATTTGTTTTCCTTCTTCCCCAGGGCACCATCCCCAGTAGAACCTTAACCACGTTCCCTATTTAAACTAAGACAGCAGTGGTGAAGCAGGATCAGCAGGGAGCAGGGAAGGTGCCCTGCTCCCTGGACTTGAGGGGTGGGTGATTCTCCACCACTCACATTCCCAGTCACAAGGTACAGTGCTGCTCAGATCCTTTCCCTCCATGTATTCGTTTGGTTATTCAGAGGCTTAGCAAAGTGGATTGCTGCAGATAATCCATTAAAAAGAACAGTAAGAAAGTAAAACTATAAAAGTAGAAAAATGGGAAGGACAAAGCAAGAGAATGCAGCATATCAAGCTGAATGGAAAGAGACCCCAAAGGCCAGACAAGCCCTCCTGGCTCCCCTGTGTTGCCAGGCTGGGGCTCTCCTGGCTCCTCTGCACCACAGCCCTCAGCAGACCACAAAGCAGAGAAGTCTGCTACAGTCAGCAAGGACCAAACTCTCTGTTCACAGACTCAATCCACCAATGCTGCCATCCCTGCTGGAGCTCTTTCTGTCCCTCTGGTGAAAGGTTTTACTCCCTTTGTTCCCATCTCTTTGCACTACCTGGAATGCTCATTCAGCCCAGCAAATTAAACCGCACCACAGACACCTTCCAGTTCATCTGCATAAATCCAGAATTAGAACAAAGCCTACAGAGCCCAGCAGGACCAGGGGGCTGGAGAGATACCTGGCATCACACAGGAAGCCAGCAGGCAGGTCAGACTGAGCCAGTGCTCCCAAAGCAGGGAATCACCTTCTGCAAGAGCGAGGAAGGCTGTGCTGATGAGCCTGTACTCTCTCCTGACCTGCACTCCCCTCCTTAGCAGCCTGTCACTAGGGAGATTAACAACTGGCTGCCTTCCCCAGTTCAAAGCAATCCTGAAAAGAAGAGCAGGAGCAAGAGGCTGGCAAAGGAGATTTGATTCCTCCCCACAACGCACTCAAAGAGAAAAAATATTCCACATAAAAGGCAAGGACTGGGGAAAAAAGATAACTGAGATCAGCACCTAAGCAATACATGAGGGGAAAAGGCTGTTTTACCCTCCTTCCTTTCCACCAAGGAAATTTCAATGGGAGGAAGACAAATAATGAAAAAAGCCATCAAAGCAAGCTGGTGATTCATTAAAATAAAAAATGCATTATGCATTGAGAGCAGTCAATTAGGAGATGCAATCCACACACTGTCCTGTCACCCCAGGGGAAGCACCAGCAAGGCGAGTGGGAGGAAAGGATAAGTAGAAAAGGAAAGATTTACAGGCATAAACAAAACCCAGCTATGACCCCAAGCTGAGCAGCCTGCAGAGGAAGGAACAGCCATCACTAACCCACACAGAGTAGCTGGGAGCAGATTTGTGTCTCTGGATTACTACAGGAGAGTGAACGTACCTACTCTCTAGACACAGAAGGGCATCCACTGGGGCATTACTGCTCTGAAAAAAGTGGGATATTGCTGCCAAATGACTAAAGAAAATATTCACTGTTAGATTCCCAGAGTGGAAGGCAAACTCTGGGAAGCATCAGAAGCAAGTCCTTTTCTTCCCTGGGCTCAGTAAAAGCTGTGTGCAGTGAGGGGGAGCACAAAGGGTTCCCAGTCCCCTCCGGCACACCCACAGCCCTCTCCTCTGTTATGTCCCCTTCTTCCCTCCCCACACCATACCTGGAGTCACTGCAGGACCAGGGAGAGTGTGAACAGGCCTGCTGAGCCCAGTCCTGCTTTCTAAGATCTGACAAATACACCGCTCCAAAAAGCCATCATCAGGATCATCCTCCTGAGCCTGCCCCTCTGCCTGGGCTCTGGCACCTCATTAGGATTCTGCCTGACACTTTTCAAAGCCTCATCCCTCATTGAGATGCTGACAGACAACCAGAGAACACAAAATGCTCCCTCCCCTGCGAGGGGCATTCTAGCCTGTGATTTCTGCTATGACTCAATCAGCAGCCACTTTAATGAGGCCATCTACTATCACTGAGGCCCTGGTGACTGATGTCTGAGCTTCTACCTCAGCCTCCAATTGCTCAGCCCCTCCTCTTCTTTTCTCAGCTGCAGACTTCCTCGGTTGGCAAAACGAGACAATGAGCAACACCTGCAGGACAAAGTGCACCAAATTCCCAGTACTGCAGCTTCTAGCAAATCTTTTGTCAGCTGAAAATCAGTTTAACAGCTAAGAGCAAGCATGTTTAGCTGTCAAGATTTGGGAATAAATCATGAAAGTTCATGGTATCTTAACAATCTCCTGTTAAGAGAGATGTTTTTGTACAGGGTAATTTGGGTCACTGTTGACCAGCCAGTGTCTCTGGCATGCTGCCACAATTCCTCTTACACATTTAGTATCTCAGCTGCACCTCTTTTTGTCCAGTCTCCTACATCCTTCTCTCTCACAACACTTCTGCCAGTCCTGGCCTTTCCTGGTCAGGAGGGGCTGAACCCCTTCCTAGTGAAATGATGAGGCAGCTGAACGAAGCCCATTGAGGAATGCAGGACTTCACCACTGAGTAGCTCTGTGGCCTCCTGGCACAGCATTGCCTGCAAGTAAAGGAACTGCACATCTTAGAGCTTTCTGGGTGCAGTCCAGCTCCCAGCTGAGCTGAGAAGGGTTATATCACATTCTTAGGAGACAATCACCTCCCCTGGCTTTCCCAACACGTTCCACTTGTTTTGCTTTCTAGTCATATTTACAACATTCTTCTTTAGAAATAAGGATGCAGAAAATTAGTTTTATGGTGAAAATGAAGAATCTGGAAAACAGCTTTTCTCAATCTTTCATGACTTCTGATGTTTCCTCACTTTTTTCTCCTCCCAGGCTTCCCCTTTGGTTTCAGTTTGCAGGTAAAATACAAATCCACTTAGTGCATAGCAATATGCATCACAGCAATTATGTATGACAAATGATTTTAACAATGCTAAGGAGAAAACTCTAATCATACTTTTCCTCTGGGTTTCCAAACTGCTTTCTGAACAGAAAACAGAGGGAGCTGTACCACATCCTTCAGAGAACAAGGACACTGCATAAACTGTATCTTAGCAACAAACAGATTAACAGCATAACTTCCTGGTCTGCTCTACAGAAAAGACACAACCAGTATTTAGAAACTGAGAAAATAACGAAAGCAGGAAGACTCACCTCCCCCTTCTTTACAGTCATGGACTGCCGACGAGGAGTGATCTCCTCGTTGATGCTGGAGAGGAAGTTCTGAGAGATCCGCAGAGCATCCTGCAGCAGGGGGTGATCAGGGTGGCTCACTGGAGTGTGCTTGAGCAAATCCTGACAACAGGAGCACAAACAGAGAACAGAACCATGAGCAGCACTGAAGAGCAGAAGGGTTTGAGTGCCCCCAGCTAGAGCTGTAGGACAAGATGCTCCAGCTTCTTCTTACTGATTAGAGCAAGGCTTTTTATCTTCAGGAGATAATAATACTCTGCACTTCTCCGTGACACCACTGAAGAGATAACAGCATCCTACCTATGGACTCCATCCCCTTAGTGTAAAGGGAAGAGGCTCTTATGCAGCACAAGAGGTTTATTTTTGCAGTCCTGCTCCATGGAAAATTTAAAGGTCAAAGAAAACAAGAAAAGGGTCTCAAGTTTGCAAACTACCCTTCAGATACTTACATGCAAGACAAGTGTGCTGCGAGTCACTCGATCCACAGGCTTGTACAGTAGGGCTGTGAAAGAAAAGCAGCAGGAACATAAGGAAGAAGTACCTAAATACAGTCCCTACAGACCAACTTGTCCAGTGTACTGAATGTACAGACAGAGGTTTATTAACCCATGAGCTACTGGAAACATCCCTGTACAGCCAATAAAGCACACACAGACACACAGAGAAGACAAGCACCACGGAACCCCATCTTGACCAGGCTCTTCAGAGGCCACCATAGGGCAAAACCCATATAGCAATCAGTGCTGGGGTTGCATTTGTGGTATCACTGGGTAGCAGATGTTCCCTTAAAATCACAGCAGCCCTTTGGTTGGGCTGGTTTTGCCCAAAGGGACTGATGAGGGAGGCCCTTCTCCATCCACACACAGCCTACTACGAACGAGCTCTGCTACTTCCCAGGTAAAGCCAGCAGACTCCACAACCTTCCAGCACTCAAAAACAAAAAGAGAGAGTGGAGGTTTGGCAACAGCCTCCAAACAGTGCTGACAAACCAGTTTCCTCTGTACGGATCACTCACTTTCCAAGGAATTTTTCGTTGTCTGATCTTTAGATTCCTTTGTGCTTCTGGCCTTTAGATTCTAAAAGAAAAAGAAGAAAACCCACGTAGCAGATGGTCAGTCACCTTGAAATATCACATGGGAACACAACAGACTATCTGCTCCTCCAGGGGAGGGCTTAAGAGTGAAAGGCGAACAGCCCTATCACAGGTCAAGTCAGGGATGGAAAAATGTGCTTTACTTCTTGGTAAATCCATCATTGCCATGTCACAAGCACCCACACATCTCAAATATTAAGCAATTTTGTTAGGAGCACGTGCCAATAGAGATGCAGCAGGGCAGGGAACCTCCTACAGGGATGGAGTTTTTAAATCACCTGCAGAAGAAAGACTGTCCATAAGGACACAGCTGCTGTCACAGCACATAAAGTACAGGATTGGGATTCAGTACCCCCAGGTTATGCTTCCTTAGACCTGCACTCGGAACTGGGTGACCTTGGACACGTCAGTTCTTTCATGGCAGCAAAGGAACACTGTCTGTGACTGCTCTCTGCACACAGACCACAACATGCATTAATGTGCTCAGCTCCAAAATCCTCACCAGGACACAAGTGCAAAAGTGTCCAAATACCAGCATGAATTCAGAATTATCCTTTGGAAACAGAGAAACTGAGGGATCATATTTTACCTCTTTATCATAGAAATCTCAAGGGACATGCACTATAGGAGGTACTCAGGAGATTTCTCAGAGCACTAAATGCCCTTGGTATTATTCAGCTCTGATTATTTATCTGATTGTTTTTAAGGAGACACATATGAAATCCATGTTTTCCTGGCAACTGAGTTCTTCAAGAAATAATCACCACAATACAAAGAGTCAATGGGACCATGCACTGCAGGCAAAGCTGGTGGCCTTGGAAGCATAAAAGAAGTCTTCAAGATGCTTTGACACAGGTACTCTCCTCTGAAAGGGAGGAAATCAGAGTAGGCCAAAAACAGCATTACAGCATTACTGTTAACACACTTGCCTTTTCACACAGAGAGCTACCTCTCCATGCCAGTGAAGCTGCAATCCCACTGACAGCCACAGTGCAAGCCATTAAGGATGGCTTTTTACACCACAGTCTGCATCATCATTAGCAAGAGAAACATCTGAGAAACTCACAGCTTCTCCTCTAGAAATGTATGAAGATGGCACAGAGCTGAAGAAGTTCAAGGCAATGCCAGCTCTCACCAGATTCCCTGGGTGGGGACCCTACATAAAGGCTGTCTCTGATAACCTCCATCAGCCCAAGGGACAAATGGCTGTAAGAACAGGAGCTGGAGGAGTGGGTCCATGGTTGCTCACCACTCCTCCAGGAGCCAGGGCTGCAGAGATACCTGGGGCACAGACAGGAGTGACATGGCGGGGGATTAGTCAGATCCAGACGCTCGTGTGTCTGAACACCGTGACATTACCTCAGAGATTTCAGCAAACTGAGCATTGGCTTGGCAGCATTTCTCTGCTGTCTCCATGGCAACTTCATAGTTATCCACAAAGGCCCGGTACACTCCCAGCTGGCTGGCCTGCAGGAAGCAAAACAAAATGAAATAAGTGCTGGGGAAGAAGACAGTTTGGGATGGTCAGCCTTGGTATCTAATGACCAGGTCATGTGCCTTCACACCAAAGAACTGCAGGGAATGCTAAGCAGGCCCAGAAAGACACCTCTGACCTGTCAGTGTTGTCTAACCAGCACTGGTGCCCCCATGCACCCAGTTCCATCCACGCTGAACAAGTTTACTTGTGAAGGATGTGAAAGGCTGCTAGAATGACACATCCTTATTACTGACATCTATTTTTCCCTTCTGAGCTGCCAGATTAGTATCTATTAAACTTTTAGCTCATTGATGTAACTAGAACTGCTGGCTTTTTGCCACAACATATGAATCAGGAATGATTCAGCCCAACAGCACAAATGTGACCCCAGTAAGCTACTTGTTGGCTTCTGTATGATGCATATAGTAAATCAAACCCAGATATTAGCCCATATCTGCATTAATGAGCATTGTTATAAGGGCAGCAGAGTGCTGAAAATACAGAAGAGAGATCCAGAGCACAATCTGTTTGGAAGGCAGTGACTGTGGCACTGGGTGACAGAAAATGGCAGTTTTTCCAGCAGAAGGATTATGCGACTGGTCCAGAAGAGGACAGAACAGGCCTCAGAGTGCAGTAATAAATCATTATTATACAGAATCTTAGCACTGATCCCGCATGCTGACTTAGGAATTGCAGCCATATTCATGCCAGAGAACATAAGATCCAGCTTGGGAAATCCCTGGGTAGCTTCCAAGCTTGTCTGGAGTGCAGAGCTGGCTTTGTGCTGCAGAGCTGCACAGGCTGTGTGTAAACCCCTCAGCAGCTCCAACACGCCTGCAAGTGCCATCAGCAGAGCCCAGGCTGGAGCGCTGAGAAAGGTCCACTGAGGAGGGCTTTGGTACCAGGAGGGCTGCACTCACCTGGTGACTCTGCACCTTCCCTGACCCTCCTGCCTGAGATGTGGAACAGCCAGAGCAGTTACTTCCCCTCAGCCAGTGCTCCTTCCCTCACAACCACTGTGCCAAAGCTCTCTGTGGAGCTTTGTGCAAGAGACAATGGAACAGAAAAAGCCACTCTCAGGAGAACATTCCCTCCAAAAAATTTCTTTAGCTGACAGAGGCTGAGAAACAGCGAGGCTATTTCCTAGGTCACATTTTACTGAAAGACCAGGAACCAATCTCAACCCTCATACAAAATCACACAATTATGACTGAAGCTGAAGAAAACTTTGCTCACTTATAGCAGGGATGACCCTGGCAGCAAAGGAGAGAATGAAATCTGCATTTGCACAGGGGCACAATCCTGTGAAGAAGCTGCTGCCAGAACTACTGATCATTTGCAGGGCTTATGACATTCAGGTTTGGATGATCCCAGCTAACATGGCATGGCTTTGAAGTTTCTCCATTCCTGGGTGGTTCTTTCATTTCCTGCTACTCCTGAACAGTCTTTCTAAGCTTTCATTTTCCTCCTCTAAATGTGCCATCACAAAGACATCTTTTTCATTAAAAACTGAGCTTCCAATCAAAGCAATGATGATCACACACTGCTTTCACGCTGATTTAATTTTTCTGGTTCTCAATTAAAAAGAGCACAGTGAAAATTAAACAAGATTTGGTAGAAATAGTTGGCTTTTGGATAAATTTTTTTTCTATTCCTGAAACCCATCAGTGAGGATATTTGCTAAATATTTCTTAATTTCTAAAAACAGCTCCAAACAGTTCCCTTTCTAGTTACAAAAGAAATATGTATAATATATTCCCCAAAAATGAGAAGCATATTTCACTCCCACATGCCTAGCATCTTTTCCTTCGTTTCAACAGGAAAAGGTGTAATAACAGTCAATTTGATGTTGCAAATAGATCGTACTTTGTGCCAGAACACATGAAATTCTAAAACTCTTTATATCCACTATCTGTAGCTTCAATCTACCGTGCTGTGTTTTGCGTGATATAAAGAAAATTAATGTCCCCAGGGACATCTGGGTAATAACAAGTATTGCAGTGTTTATCATCAGATTGCATGACACGACCACGAGTAAACAGTCTGCTCCAAAGGATTTGATGTACATCCAGTATAGATGCCTTGTAATGCCTGATGTTCTTGCTGTCTCTCTCATCTAGTTGCTTCCCAGTGCCTGCCAAGAATTATTAGCTTTATCTCATCCAGGAAAGAGTTTGCAATTCCCACTGATGCTGTACCAAACCACCCGAAACTGAAGCTGCTATGGCAGCTCAAAGCTTCCTGCACTGTGGCAATTTGCTCCTCTGCTTCCAGTGCTAATCCAACAAAATCAACAATTCTGTCACAAATGCAGAAAAATCAGGGGAACATAAAAGCAGAGTGCCAGAAGGGCTTAACTCCTGCACCTGTGATCACCCAGCAGCAAGGAATGGTCCTAAACAAGAGCCTGAGGAGCTGTGCAGTGAGGAGAGGCTGCTCGACAGCCAGCCCTGCCCAGGAACACACTCAGGTCCTCTTCAATTAGTGCTGTTCCATTGCTGCACTGCCTGCCCAGTGCAGTCTCTGAGGCTGCCACTTCAAGCAGCCTTTGTATCTCTGCTTCAGCAACCAGCAGCAGCTGGGTTTGTCTTCTTAAACCAGCTGCTCAAATTGCATACCATGAACTACTTACCCAGGCACCAACTTGACCCCTCCTGGCTAAAACATGTTGGCAGTGAAAAGCAGATTCCCTTATTTTGATCTTGAGTTGCTGGCATGCACAGAAAACATCATCTTCCAGGGCCAGCTCCCCCTGCTCCACAGGGGATGGGGCTGATGCTGGGCTACACAGCTGCTAACAATTGATTGACCCTGGAAAATACACTCCCCAGCCAATAAACCCCTCACTGGAATGTCACTCCTACCCTGAGAATCAGAGGCACCTCCGGAATGCAGAGATTCTTTTTCTTTTCTAAAAAGGAAAAAACAGCTCCTTTAATCCTTTGCTCTCTGCACATGCTAGGGGAGAGGCTAAAGGGGCCAAAGAAATCTCCTAGAATGCAAACAATTTGTCATCTGGCTCAGAAACCCAGCAATTTTAATTCAGCCTCAGGAATATGCTGTATATGTCTTTGTCCTGTTCCGCACTCAGAGAATTTTGTTGAGGTTGCTTGGAGGATTCTCAGCTGCAGGTTGACTGCATCAGCATAACAGCAAGGGGAATACAAAGGCCAGGATGGTGGCAGAGAAGCAAAGTCAAAGGTGATGACCACAAATCAGCACAAGGTAGAGCAAAGCATCACTGAGAGAAGGAAGTATGTGAGGGAGTTCAACAGTAACGAGAAACAGTTCACTGTCAGTGTTAGAAAGTTCACTTTGTAATACTGCCATTCTCCCATTTTCCTCTAAAGCAAATGCTTTGATGGTGCTGCAGAGACTCTGGAGATCCAATATTTCTGTGAAACTGTATTTATTTTAGCACCACAGCTTGCTGGAGTCTTTAATTAAAGACAATGAAAGAGCCATTTTGCTGTAGGCCCTTCACTGCAGTGGCAAAGTGAGAAGCCTCTCCTCTAATCCAGCCATGGGCTTTGATCCCTTCAGTCTGTGCACAGTCACCAGAGGGAACCCACCAGCTCCTGTGAGCTGGATCAGAGGTACCAGAAGCTCTGGTGATGGCAGCTGACTCACCAGCTTTTGGAAGAGGTCCCCCACACGTTGCTGGTGACTCCACTGCTGCACTCGGGGAAAGAGCCCATCGTAGAACTCTTTGTGGATCTCATAGAGCTCAGGCACTTTGAAGAATATTGTCTCAATCTGCTGACTGGTCAGCACAGGCTGAGAGGTGGTGGCAGCAGCTTTCAAAGGCTTCATGGGCTGAAATGAGGAAAAATGGAAATCATTATCATGCAAATCATGTACATTCACCTTTCTCACACTGCAACACATCCCTCTATAGATTTATTTTTCATCCTATTAATAAGTGATATTTGCATTCACACAACTCCTGAAAGCTAGACATGAACAAGTTCTCTCATGGGGATCAGCCACCCCAGTAGGTGGATTTTCCCAGGGTATTAATGATGCAATTAAAATCCCTTTGCACTTCATTTCCTTAATCTCTGTCCAACTGTACAGCAAAGTGTCTAATAATTAGCACAGGACACTTAAAGACAGAGCTCCTGGGTACTACCACATTAATAACTCCCTAGTTCTGCCATATGCAGTCCTTCCTTTAATCCTCTTTCTCTACTGAAGAAGAGGAGGAACAGGTACCCTTCACACCTGTAACTCGTGTATGTGAAGTTCTAGGAACTCTGGATGGAAGCAGCAGTGAAAATTCAAGGGCCAGTGTTCAAAGTGGCATCTGGCCCCAGTTCTTACCAGCAGCAGGGCCTCCAGGTGGCTCAGGTAGGTTTCCTCACTGGCTAGGATTCCTGATAGAACCCATTTTCTCATCTCCAGGCCTTTCTCCAGGTCTGGCTCGCTCTACAAAGAAGTTGGTAAAGAGAAAAAAGAAAAAAAGTATTAAAAAGGGACTGGGGGGGGAGAGAAAGAAAAAAAACCAAGAATAAAGATGGAGTAAAAGATACCATTCAGTTGACCAGAGCATACTTGGGTTTTTTGTTTACTTTCAGACTAAGAAAATACCAACCAAACAAAAAACCCACCTGCGCTCAGAATCCTGTTTCTAGCAATATGGAAACATAAAACAGTAAAGAAATTTTTATTTACCAGCAACTGATGTCACTTAGATTATTTACAGCTATTAGCTTTAGTCATCCAACTTCGGTGCCTCAATTAGGTGCCCAGGCCTCTTCACAAAATTCAAAAGACAGAACTTAAAAACTCAGAATGTATCCTGCTAAACAAATCTCAGGAGCCTTGTTGTGTGCCATTCCCTCCCCCCTCCCACAAGAGCCCTCCAAAGCCCTGTTTCTCCGTGCAGAAGGAGCACTGCCCCTGCATCTCCACAGGTGTGCACACACAGCACAGCCCCAGCCTGCCACGGCTCCCAGATGGCTGTTCCTTCTCCCACTCTCTAATATTCCCTAAATTATTTTTCAATGCCAGCTTGCACAATGTCTATTTTTAGTGAGAGGATGGAATAATCAGCACTGCTTGGAACGCACATGCTGATTTTCTTATTGGGATTCCATGAAGGAGTTCTTAACCAAAACAACTGAAGAAAAAGAGGAAAAAAACCCAAACATAAATACATTCATGGGCAAATGAGGAAGACTAGCATGAAGTGTTAAGAGAAGCAGTCATCCCCTCTGTTGAATTTTAATTATGCTTCCTCTCAAAATTGTTATCTGAAAAAGTGTTTAACCTGATAAAGTGAAACCGAGTGTTTCCAAAAAAATGTGGCCAAGCAATGAAGGTTATAAATAATGAGAAACATCCCCCTTTCACAGATTCTTATTTCCAGTTCTTTTTATTTCTGTCATTCATAGAAATAGCTTGTTACAATTCCTGCAAGCTTTTTATGTTATTAAATGTCTCTAAGAATAGAGTCAGTAATTGGCTCTGAAAGGGTACTTTTCAAGGGCTTTGGGTAGGTTGTTTGTGACTCCATCCTACTCCTCTTAATATCCAGAGGAATCTTCAGCTTTTGATTTCAGCAGTGGGAGGATCAGGAAACACAGCAGGATGCTCCACTCTATTGACTGAACATAAAGCCCTAGAGCTGCCAAAAAAAAAGGCTCCACTTAGTTTAGGGTCCTGTGCTTGAACCCTGCAGATGTATAGATGAGGTTCATGATGGACAGAAGGCATCTGGGCTATAGGTAAAGCTTGCAGGAAAGCTCTCACATCCTGAGTGCGACTCTGAGCCTACGCACCACCCGAGGAAAGAAACAGATCTCACGCTCCCAGATATTTCTGGATTCAGTCTCATCAATAACCATCCTGATTCCTGAACGCTTTCATTAAATTTCACAAGCTATTTTCTAGCCTAAAAGACTTCCAGCAACTACTTTATAAAAATTTTGTGAGGTGTCAAATACCACCATCACCTCTTCAATAAAAGTGGCAGACAGAAGCTGCTCTAAGGAAACGCGTAACATTTACACGCACGTCAGGTACTGCATGGAAAGAAGAACTTGTCTTTGCAGCCCACCCTTTGGTGGGAAGTAAGAACCACAGTGCCCTTTAAAATCTTGAAAGGGCATCTCAAAGAAGGTAGGATTTGCAATTCAGCAGCCGTGTTCAGAAGATTGCAGAAAACCAATGACAAACTACATGGTGAAATGAGCTGCAACAGCCTCTGTGCATCTCCAGAGCACCTGTGTGGCTGCCTGCACAGCTCAAACAGAAATGTCCAACAACACTGTGACCATTCCTTATGTTTTCTGTGCCAGCAGTGCCTGGATGTCCAGCTCATGGACCATTTTTTAAGGCATGGTACACACGCCTAATCAAGACAGACAGCCCCAAGACATTAAACAAAGGTTGCCTTCATCCAAAGAGGAAGGGATGTAGCAGTGCTGGTGCAAGAGAAACACAATTGCTCTTGGTTTCGAAAGATTTCTTACAACACTTACAAAAGAAAAGTGCAGCTACACAAAGAAGCATTGACGAAAACTAACAGTGCTCCAAAGTCCCCACTGCTGAGGATGAGGTAACTGGTCAATATTGACACAGCACTATAATTATATTTAGCAGGTTCTCTTGGAGGAGGTGAGGATTTAAAAACCAGCTGGGTCTGTTTGTAACATCTGTAAAGAGCAGCACACAATGGCAAGTCATTTAAATGATTCAAACTTCCCCATCACCACAGTGGCACAACAGTTTTCCTTACAGCACTGAGAACAGTTTTCCTCTTCACAAGTAAAAGCTTTAATTTACCAGCCAGTTCTTGCTGGGCTGACAGAGCAGCATTTTCTGCCTGAATGTTAATTTCCTCCCTCTAAAAGAGATGTGCTTTCAGAGGCAAACATCTCCCAGGACACACTGGAGGCCTTCCTTCCTGGCCATTACCGCACAGGCACTGTGCAAAGTCCACGGGTTTGTCCTAAACCTTTTTAATAGGAGCATTTTTCCAAATGTGGTGTTTGCAAAACTCCAGCCTCAGACACAGCCAGCCAGGGCAGGGCTTGCCTGCTTTACTCTGGGTACAGCAGTTGCTGAAGGAACCCTCAGGGAAGTTTATCCAACAATCACATGGCACGTTACAGGATTTCCAATGCAATACCTCAAATTTACATACAGCCTCCTCCTATGTGAAAAGATGATCTCCTGCTGCTCCTGCTGTGCCAGGGATCAATACACCACCTCGGTGCTGCTGTGTTTGCTCCCGGGAGCCTGTGCCCTGACAAGAGGTCCTGCTGAGGGAGCCTTTGCTGGCAATGTCAGCTGGGGCTGTACAGAGCAGAATGAACATCTGGAAAACAGTCCCGGTGCTCCTTCAGCCTCAGGGTGCTTTTTAAGTCACACTTGTTACGAAACATACTCCAAGATTCACTGGGAGCTGGTGCCAATATCAGGAAGAAGAGGAGTAAGTTTATTCTTTGGTATTACAACATTCCTCACTTACAGAATGGGGAACGGGTTCACCTGCTTACCTGGAACAAGACAGCAGTGAGCAGGCACAGATCCTGTGGGACTGCCCTTCCACCGTCCCCCTGCAGCACCCCTTGCCAAGGGCATTTCTGCTTTGCCCATATCTAACACAAAAGGGTAACAAAGAACAACACTGTGACAACAGCTCCCTGCCTGCTCAGCTCCTGCACTCCAGCCAGAAGGGCAGTTCAGAGGGAACATCCTGGGCAGAGGTATCAAGCTCCTCACCAGCACAGGGAGACCTGCCAAGGCTGAGGACTCCTTTCCCCACCCTGGCAAGAAGGGAGCAGTCTGAAATCTCTGAGCTGCTTGTGCTAAGGGGAGGAGATGTACCACATCTATCAGACCCCATCAGCTAGGGGATAATACACCTATTACCACAGTGCAGATGGGATGTTCCCAGCAGGAAGTGGGAGCAGCCTGTATTGGCAAACTCTAACCACTCAGCAGGGAGTGCCAGGTGGTCAGCAGTCCATCCCATGCTTCCTACCCAGCTTGGTTAGCTTGTTTTTCACTTGTACAAGTCTGACTAGTATTTCATGTTCTGACCATCCCTGCCTCTTTGACGCCAGCGTCCATGTCTAGCCTTTCTCCACTGCCCTTCCATCTTTTGGCTACCTCTCCACCCCTGTGTTTCAGAATAAATATTACAAGACTGTACCAGGGCAGCAGCCAGAGCATTCCTGTCTCCCTGCCATGGGAGTTGTGAGGATCCAACACCCAGCCAGATCTGAACAAGCAAGCAAGGAATCAGTGCCTTGCTCCCACTCCTTATGAATTACATTAAAAAAAAACAGACACCAAAAAGGAGGTGGAAAGCAGGATAAAGGCAGTGTCACAGGTACCTCATGCCTATACAATTCTAATGTTCTCTTCTCAACTGGGTGGTGCTTTTTGCTATTCCAAAGACTTAAAAACCAGAAGATTGAGTCACAGCCATAGTCAGTCCCAACCTTGGGACCTGACCCACGGCCAGACCGAGCGGTTGGAAGCTCTGGAGATATCAGAGCACACACACTGGCCCCGAGCCATGGCTGCTTTGAATGTGTTTGCAGCCTGTCAGCCCAAGCACTTTAGTTTACTAACCAGGTTGGCATCAAATGTTGTGCTCAATTACTGCAAGGCTGACATTCACCAGCTCCAAGGATTAGACAGATTCGGCTCTTCCTGACTCTGTTTAGAACTCAGGGCTCTCTGGTTTTTGTTTAAATTAACAGCAATAATTGTTTTCTTGCAAACCTTAGAAGAACACAGATTAAGGATCTAGAAACCACAATACACAAGATTTTGCAAAGAGGTTGCTGCTGGCACAGCTCTGTAAAGAGAATCAGGGATTCAAAGTGGGCGTATAAAAGGCACTTTAACTCTTCCTTTGGTACAGTGTGTTCATACACCGGGCAATGAATGTGCTCAAAGGAGAGGCTTCCTGTAAGGACAGCTCTGAATCTCACACAGAACCTGAGAGCCTACAAAGGAGAAAAGCCATTCATTTCCATTTTTAAAGTGTAAATATATTTGTAAGCTTCTGCTAAACAGGTTGGAGGTGTCTCATTGTCTTGGTGATATTAAACAGGGCAAATTCTGTAATCAAGCCAATCATGCTCCATGCAGGGAAGGGAAGGAGCAGGGAGAGGAGCCAACATTATTTATAACATCAGTACTGGTGTGCCAGCTCTCCTCAGGAAGGGCTGTACATCCAGGCTGAGCCCTTAAGGAGCAAAGAATAGGAGAATAAAAAGGAAAAACTGCATCTGTTGGGGGTGGTGAGGAGAAAGCCACAGTAAAACAAAACAAACAAACCAACCCAAATACTGAGAGGAAGAAAGGAGAAGGATTTGGAAACACTGGAGAGAGAAGGACAAGCTAGCAACAGTAGTAACAAGCAGAGCAGTAACCCCATTTATTGCTGTAGCTTCAGAGGTCAACTTCTCTGGATCCCCTTGGGACCAAGCTAGGAGCAAAACCCACAGCCTGATCTGCCACAGCTCTGCTCTCTGCTGAGCTGGCAGACAGCAAGGACAAAAGGATCTGATCTGAGGAAAAGCAATGGCTGCCAATGCTGCACCAACCATGGACTGCACAGCAGAAAAGGGAAGAGAAATTCTACCTGGAAATCAATAAGTACCAGCCAATTTCTCCTCCAAACAGAGCAGACAGTAGGAGGTGGTCGCTCAGCTTTAGCACTCCTGCCTCCCTTGGTGTGATATGGGCAAGAATTGGAGAGATCTATTTTGGCAAAAATTCATCTGCACTGAAAAGTGACTCCTCTCCTGGGGGGTGGAACGAGCTTTGCCTTCCCACTGCTGTCCTGCACCTGCACCCACCTCCACACCTCCGAGCCTGGCTTTGCTGGTGAGCAGATCTTGAAAGGCCATTCTTATTTCTACTCTTCTCATGGCTGCAATCTCTCCCCATATGAATAGCAGCAGTAGGATCACAATGAATTAAGCTTTCCATCCTCTTTAGCCTCCAGGCTGCAAGCTACCCACTCCAAAACTCTTGGCAATCACTCTTCTCTACTGAATGGTGTCAGTCACCAACTTTCCAGCCCTCCCAACACTTTCCTGTGTCCTAAGAATACTGTAGCAAGCTCTCCCTCTGTTCTCCTCCAACTCTGTTCAGGTATCTTCTCCACCTTTCACTCTGGCTGTAGGGGAAAGACAGACACATTCTCCCTCCTTCTGGGATTGAAGTATCACAACCTTTTACCAACACTGTCTGACACCTTCTGAAGCTACTGGCACTGTCTTATTTGGCAAACATTTGGGCTGACATTTTCCAAGAGAGGTTTCCAGAATTTTTGGAAAATTCAATCACAAAAGTTACAGAAAGAAAGGTTTGGGAAAATTAAACCACTTCTCATGTTAAATAAACAAACAACTTAAGCATCAGTGGAACCTATTTCTCCTTTTCCCTCTCTCCCTGTAGGTTTGCTTCAGAGCAGCAGGCAAAGTTTGGTAAAAGCTTATGCCAGGACACACATGAGCAGCCCAGCATGAGACCCTGGAAGAGCCAGAAGAAGGGGTACAACCTCTCTTGCTCAATGCAAACACTTGTTAAGGTTTCCCAACCACAAAAATGACAAGTGGATGCTGAGATCCACACTACAAATGGCCACCTTGCTTATGCCCTCTCTGGGTCACAGACAAAACTGATGCTGGTGCACCACTTGTCACCCTCGTGGGACACCAACAGTGGACACCCAGTGGAATGTGAATCACAAGAGGTGCTAAAATGGCACAGTTTGAGGGTAGCATCTTTTCATCTGCTTATATGATGGAGGTGGTGAGAGAGATTAGAAAACACTCCCCATATGAGAAGGTGCAGAGCACCACAAACCTTTTGGAAGTACATTGGGACCCTCAGCTCTTGGAACACTGACATGAGGTGCTGGGAGTTAGTCACCCTACACACTGGGGGAGAAACAGGATGCCCCTCTATAAGTAGTAAAGGAGGGATCCTTTCATTCTCTTTTAGAAAGAGGCACTGCTTTGGCCACTCTGCACTTTCCCTATGGTGGCTGGACAGAATCCTGATGTGCCATCCAACCAAAGGATAGAGCTGCTCTAAGGAGATGGAAGGACTCAGTCAAATACTTGGCAGAAAAATACAAAGCCCAGAGCAAGCCCATCAAATAAGTCAAAGCAAGATGCCCTCAATATCCAGATAGCGACAATCCAGTATCCAAGAGGAAAGCTGATCTCATGGATAAGGCAGATGAACATCACACCAAAATGCTTCTATGTCTGTGTGATGCTAAGTGAATTACTGAGAATAAAAATATCATTGTTTGCATTGTTCTCCATTTTTTTGGGTGTCTGACTGGAGTGCTGTTAACTCTTGGTTATGAGTGAAAACAAAGGTATTTTACTTTAAATGTGAAGAAAACTGTACTAAAAGTCAGAACCTGGTTTTGCAGAAGATTACACATCTCACATTAAGCACCCCAAATTAGCAGATGCTTTTCCTATAACCTGTCTGCCTTGATTTCCTGTGGTTAGTGAACATACCATCCTCTTATCTCACAGGAACACTGCAAGGATAATTAAGACCTGTGTAGCATTCCAACTGTACTTGCAGTTAATGGCCATGCCACTAGGAAATGAATACTTTAGAACTCAGAGCAGAGTTTGCAGTGCCCCATAAATAAGCTGCACACACAGCTCCCAGGGTGAAATGTTGAATCCAGTGAGTATCATTCACTGTGTTCACTGCACAATGCAGGAGCCCCATAGGGAAAACAGGATGATTGAGTAATTCAAAGTTTTCACTGAGATTCAAGACAAGGCTATGGCATGAGGCAAGGTTGGATAACCAGAGTAATTTCTTAACTTCTGAATGACTTCACAGTCTTAATATTTCATCAAAGTAGTGTATGTAGTGCATGTTGTGCTGTTACATAGGGTTAACTTCATTTCCAGACTCTGGTCATAAGGATAATCTAAAATTTTCAGAAGTAACTGCAGGCACCTAAGGAAAAAGTAAAAGGGCAGGAGGCAACTATAAAAGCAAACACAGGTAAACAAAACATGTTTTCTGCTAATCAAGTTTAGTGTAAAAGAAAATAGAATAGATGTACATCCTGGTATTTCTGGTCTGACACATTTTATGTGCTTGGCTCAGCACAGTGTGTTTGACACTTAATTTTGTTACTGATGTCTTTTCCACTACAGCTGAAAACAGAACTACAGCAAAAGCCCTCTAACCGCTCGTGATGACAGAAAGTTTAACTTGCTTGGGAAATACTGCAACTATATGTAAATTAGTCTCTTCCTCCTTGTCATGGATTGTCCTTAATCAGTGGCATTGGCAACTGTGGACTAATTACGGATGGGACCGACTGAAGCAGTTGAGGTTCACGATTAAAAGTCCAATCTGTATCAGGACACCTCTTTCTTTTGGAAGCCATAAAACATCTTTTTATAGTCTGAGAGAAGAAAGCAGCCATTTATGTTCAAAATTGTTTTTGAAAAGGCAGGCCTTCTAGCATTATTAAAGGAACTTTGAAATTAACTGCTGGTAACTGCTTATGAGGCAATACTCAAACAAATAAAGAACAAGATTAAATATTAGGCAGTGTTTCTTCCAGGCCTCCAGTCACAGGCACTATGACAACTGGTCCTTTGAAGATAACTCTCAGCCATGTGTAGTCACATAGTGTTTTTCCTTCATTCTGAGAAACATAACCTGGAAATCTCAAGCCAATATTAAAATGTTCTTGGAGCTTTTTGCATTTACTAATGATAATTTCTTCACTCAAAAGCCTCTTACATATCACAAGAATTCTCATCTTAAGAGATAAAAAAGCATCTCAAAATTAATAGACTAAAGCGTAAGCAGCTAACTAGATTCCACACTTTACAGTCAAGTAAAACTAAGCAAACATCAACAATATATCTGCTTGATACTGCTTTGAGAGATCTTGACAATGCATTTTTATAAATGAGAAAGAAGAACAAAAACACTGTCTCAAGAAGGATTCTTAATCTGGAATTCATCCTGGAAAAGGCATATGATGTGGCAGCAACCAATAAAGAGGAGTAGAAGGATGTGTGTAATGAACACTGGGCACTAATGGCTTGTGGAACTTGACTCTTGACTTTTGAGGCAAGATAAATAAAACTGATAAAAGTGATGGTGTTGATTTGTATGCTGATACCTGTAAAATATCCATCCTTTTCTTCTTAATTAATAGGACAGAACAATCTAAAGCAACAGATGAGTTAAACTACTTAGATGACAGATTTCCAAGTGTTATTCACAATGTGGGAATTCAAGGTTGTTGGCCACACTTTCTCAGAAACACAGTAGGAAGGCAGTGACAGTTGGCTTGGTGCTATTAAGCATTTTTATGAATGACTTGAGGTAACCCAAAGTCTCCAAATGACAAAGATATTCAAGGGAACAGCAACTTGGGATTCAAGTGCTCTCAGTCTATTGCAAAAGGATAAACAGAAACAAAGGCTGAAAGTCAAAGAGACTAATTCAAGCTGAAACTAAGATATTTTTGATTGTGAAGACAGCAAAGCCAATAGTTATTTACCAAGGCATACTGCAGTCTCACTACCAAGACTACTGTAAGAACAAAAACAGAATTGTTCTGTAAGTTCCAAGCTATAGCCACGCTACTGAACCTGAAACAAAAATAAAGCAAGGTAGCCTGAAGGGCCACATTAAACCAGAGGTCAGGCTAGGCAGTGTCTTCTGCACCTTTTATCTACTATTATATAGGCAGCTATTTGGTGAATAGTCAAATCCACCACAAGCAGTGGCTCTCCCACCCAAAGTCACCATTTCAGAGCTGGTAGTTTTAATTCCTCTTATTCCACTTTCACAGGGTGAAGGGAATAGCTCTTGTATTCTAGAGCTTTATCAAAACCTTCAACCCACCTGAAAATACCTTTTATTTTCCTTGTGAAAGGCAATGACAACCCACACGCAGAGATGTATGAACACATGTTGTTCCACAGTCTCCTGTCCAAAATACCTGTAATTTAGAGACCCTCTCAACTGCAACTATCACCAGTTCTCTCCACTAAAATTCACAGAGGAAAAGGAAAGGAACTCACTGATTTTGTAGATTCCAGAGACCCTGAGGACAGAGTGTCTCGGCTGCCCCGGCTCTTGGAGCTGAGGTGTGGTGAGGAGGATGGCGAGTCATCGATGTAGGGCATCATGTCATGGTGTCTCCTCTGCTCCTCGGCGCGGTCGGCATCGTACGCGTAGCCGGGCGGTGTCCCCCCGAACGGGGCATCTGCAAAGCACACAGAGAAACCTGTCTGCTCACACTCCAGGAGACAGCCTGCTCCACCAGGCACTGCCTCCCAGCTGCCACAGCACTCACCAGTAAACCCAGAGTCGCTGATAGTTAAATGGAGGCGTAAATAGTTAAATACAGTAGAGGCGTAAATTTAACTAAACTTATGTTGTCACCAAAAGTTCATTTCACTTGTTCTAAGTCCTAAAAGGTGAAGTCCTTTCTAACACTAGTTGTCTCTTAATTACAGCTCTTTCCCTCACATTTTCCTTCAAAAGCATTGGCATCAAAATAAATCCTTTTGCAGGCTCCATAAAAGCTGTGCAGTCTGGGTTGAGGAATGCAGAGGTTGTGACAACAGACTCCACTTTTTCTATGGAACATAAGCAGATGATGCCCCTGCCAATTTAGGAAGCACAGACAATACATAGCTCAGGGGAGAAATGTAACTCTCTCCAGGACACCCAGGAACAAGAGGACCAGGAAAGAAAGGTCTCACATGTCAAGTGAACCAACCTTACTGCCAAGCCCAAAATCCTAAGAGGCCCTCTTCTATTGGCTACCCCTCCTCCTCAGTTTTGAGCCCAACTCCTAAAACAAATGAACAAACCACCACCCTACTCCCTCCTGCCCATCCCATCTCCCCTCTCCCCCCAAAAAAACTCAAATAAACCAACAACATGTCCAAAACACAAAAAACAAAGGATGGTGGTATGAAGAGTCAAATTAGTCATTAGTCACTGAACTTCTGCAGGAAAAATGAGGAGTAAAATTGTTCTGGTATCTTCAGTAGCTGTTTACAGAGAGTGCTTCTGCAAAAACCTGTAACAGGACACACAGTGAGTAGCTCCCTCTGCCATAGGTTAAAAGGTCTTGCACCTCTCTGCACAAAGAATATATACAGGGCCAAAATTTGGTTTCTGCACAGTGGTACCAGACCATGAGCTCCATGGGCTTGGGAAGCTCCTTCACCTCTCAGTGTCCAGAAGTGTCCTGTGTGTGACAGCAACAACCAAGTGTGGGCCACTGACCACACAATGGGAGAGTTCCCCCTCCTCTTTCAGCTACTAGTCACAGAATGCCACTCTTCTCCCAAAACTGAAAAATAACTCCAAGGAGATAAGCGAGATCCACTTTTACAGCAGCTGGTGAGCTTTATGGAAGACAAAACTACAAAGAAGAATAAAAATAATTACACTTCAACACAAGTAGAACCAATTTTTTACTTGTTTTCACAAATATTCAGGTTCTGTGAAAATAATAAGCAGCTGCTGCCAAGCATACTAATAATCCTGTTATACATCACTAAGGCAGGGTGGAGGAGTAACATTTTAAAGCCCACTTTCTTCCCTCACAGTAAACTCAGTTAAAGCATGACTCATTCCAGTAAAGGATGTGAACTTTATGTGGAACAGAATAAAACTTGATCCATGTGGCTGTTTCAGGAGGGAGAGCTGGTCTAGGGAATTTACACACACAATATACTGAAAACCCAACAATGCACTCACTGTAGAAACGAGCCTCTGTCTCAGCTCCTACCAAATACCACCCAGCTAAATAACAGCCTGAGAGGAGGCCTTCAGGCTGCTGAAGGACCATGGCAGTGTTATTTTAACAAGCTCAGTGAGTTCCATGTGCCCACCTGCTCGTGCTCAAGCTCTCAGAGTTCCTCAAAAGACTTGTTAGATTGTGCAAGACCACAGGAACAAGGGGTGGGGGGAAGAGGTACATGTTCTCTGGAGGGAACCTTAGACTACATGTTACAGGTTTCCAGAGCTCCACAACCATTCAGAAGACACCCTTTAAGCTGATTCGGTAACCAGAGGCTTGAAAGGCTGAGATAAGGATGCTCAGTCACAAACAAAAGAGATTTTTAGATACCCCAAAGCTGGATAGTTTCTACAACATCTGCAAGCCAAACAAATCTCATGCTGGAACTCTCAAAAGTTCTTTGGCTAAAAGGATGCAGAACAGGAGACTGCATTAGCCCCCACCTTGCACAACCAAACAGGCAAGGAAATACCAAAAAGGAAAAATACCCTCCTCACATACAGGTGGATGGTCTTCTGTTTGGCCAGAAGGTTAAGGGACTGTTTTGACTCCAGAGACCAAAATAAGTAGGAATGAGGATGAGTGTCTCCTTTCATCTCGGCACTATTTATGCCATATTAAAATAATAATGAAAAACCCAAACAAACAAGACCCCACACCAGAAAGAAAAGAACCCAAACCCACAAAATCTGAACACCACATCACTTCAGTGGAAGAGTACAGATACCTGTTTTCACTCAGGTGTCCCTTGTGCAACTTTCTAACCCACCAAGCCTGTGAGACATTACTGACAATTTAACACTGGCATTTATCCAAGAAGGAACATCAGTACTGGGCACTTATGTAGGCTTCATGCCAACTCGAGGAAGAGTTCTTTTTTCCTTTAGAAGTTTCTTCAAACTATTCTTATCCAAACCAGTTTCTCCTGCACACATGCAGTAACAAGACAAAGTCTCTGTGCAGAAATTAAGGCAGGAATATATTTCTTTCACTCCCAATACTCACTTGAAAAATTTATAGTTTGCTCCACTTTGTTAATGGGGGAGTAAATGCAGACTAAAATACATTAGCAGAAAGGCTTGCAGTGAATCACAGTATTTCCACTTTCCTCACTTTCTCCTGCTAAAAAACAGCTTCACACTTCTACCTTCCCTTCCATGTTGTGTCTCCTACTGCACAGGGACACCTCTACCTGAAACAGAAGGAAAGGGCAGGTGGAGGACGTGAGCTCAGAAGAGGAGACTTATTGCCAGATTTGCAACAAGATTCAGCCTACCTTTGAATCACTTCATCTCCCTATCCATAAAAATGAAAATAACACATCTCAACAAGGAATGAATCTATCACTGTCACAGACTGCCATGAGATCTATGCATAAAGCTCCACACAGAATTTAAAACTTTATTTCTGTATCCTCCAGGGATCCTTCACACATTAAAAAGCTTAGAAGTAGTTATAATCCCTCTTCTTTCTATTATTGCTGCACACAGCACTGAAATCCACCTATGGAGATCTTAATTATCTCAAAGGCAGAAAGACCTTCTCGCTTTTATTCTGCCATTTTTTCCAACAGAAGCAAAATATTGCCACAGTCAGATACACTACACAAGCCTTAGCACCAGGAACAGAGGTAGCCTTGTATCTCTGTGATTAAAGAGCCCACTGTTGCTAGGGAAACTAGGTTATGGAGAGCTCCTCAGCCCAGCACAATGCTCACAGGCTGCTCAGGCTCCACCTGGGAGAGAAAAGCACAGAGATCAGAGCCAGGGCTCACCTGCTCTGACACCTCCAGCTGCTCTAGGTGCTGCTATGGAGATGGCAAGTGGAGACAGCAGATGGGCTCAAGCAAGAGCATTTGGTTCCTTAGCCAGTGTCTCAGAGAAGGTGAGCATTAAGAGGGTTCTTATCCTCCAGCCAGTCTCAGAGTAACCATCAGTAACTGAGCCACCAAGGCCAGAGAGAGATGAGACCAAGCAACAAAGGACAACTGCTGGCAAGGGACAACTAAGGAAAAAGGCAGGCAAACAAGGATGGTGGGCTCAAACATGCTGTACTGAGAGAGCACCAGACAGACATGCCAAGGACACTGCTCCACGTGTGTCGTGCTTCTCATCTCACCAGTGGCCCCCTTTTCTCCCCCTCTTTGGGTAACCTGTAAGAGATCCCATCCCACTGAGAAGAGCAGCAGCTGTGACTCTCAGAAATGAGCCTTCTGGGCACACAAGAGGAACTATTTTTACTACTGGCCCTTGGACATTCTCTTACAGAACTACTCTCCTGCACCAGCACATCTTTGGGTGCACTGAACTGCCTGGGGGTACGAAGGCTCATCATCCATGCACACATTCTGCTAAAATCCTCAAGCATTTATTTCCACCCTTAGTTCTTACAGCAATGGCCTCCCTGGCCTTGTTTTGCTCCAGCTTTTGTAAATCTCTTCCACCATCTCCCTCCTCAGTTACTGCTTCCATCCTCTCACCTCCTTTCTCATCTCTGTCCGCTTTTCAATGTCTTTTGGTTTTCTCAAATATAATATTGGTTTTCTTTATGCTGTTGTGCCTCCCCTCTTCCAAACTGCTTTTCTCCCTCACTTCCTCAAATTTCACCTGGCTGAGGGATAAGGAAGAATCTAACAAATTTACAGCTACTCAAATTCCCTGGCACTCAGAGAGAGCACAGCAACACTGTTCCCTTGTCCTGTTGCCTACACCCTTCCTGCTGGGTGCCACATTCATTCTTTGGAAATATGAAATCACAGATCTAACTTGAAAGCAGGAAGGGTAAAAGAAATTAACTTCTAAATAAAAAGAAAGATTATCTGTATCTAATCCAAGGCCACACAATGGTTCAAATGCACGTGTCATACTTTCACAGCAGCACAACATCCATAGCTGCTTGAGAGGCTTAACAGCAGCCTGCAGAGAAGATTCCAAGCTAGCTGTGCTCCAGCTAATCCTGCTAAAAGAGCAGTGAAGCCACAGCAGCTCAGACCTGCCTGCCTAAGTAAATACCTAGAATCCTGGAGGGGGAAGGGAGGTGCACGTCCTGCCAAAGCCCCACATCACTGTGGCTTCATTGTGAATGGTACCAAGGCTAGCACGAGTTTGGAATGTCTACACTCACTCCAAAAACATCCCCACAGCTGCAGAGCAGAATGGAGCTAAGGCACTTTGCATCCTCTGTGTTTCTATGCCAGGGAATGTGTGAGGCCATAGATTGACAATGCATTGTCTTGGCAACAGTAGGGGTTTAAGGTTTCCCCACCAAGCCATAAACCACTGCATGGCCCCTTCCCCTCTTATCCCCTCAGTTCTTTAACCCCACGGATGCCTGTGGGCCAGATAAAGAACTCAGCCAGCTCAAAGAAAAATATCTTTGACGCTTCCCTTCTAAGCTGGATCAGCTCCCTGATCTAGTTCATGGCTCAGAAATCCAAACTGGAAGGA